ACACAAATGGCGTTAGGAAGTGTGAGGAGGGGGGTACGTGTGAAGTGATATCGAAACTACTGCGATGCACAGATGAGTTTTTAAATTGAGTATACCTATATATATATATATATATATATATATATATATATATGTATATATATATATATATATATATATATATATATATATATATATATATATATATATATGTATATATATATATATATATATATATATATATATATACAGAGAGAGAGAGAGAGAGAGAGAGAGAGAGAGATAGAAAACGAAGGAGAGAGTTTTCCTATCTAACTAACTAACTATATATATATATACATATACATATATATATATATATATATATATATATATATATATATAATATTATATATATATATATATATATATATATGTGAGCGGGTGAATGGATTATTTATTTTGTATTAATTTTATTTGTTGCGAATCTGGGAGTGCATGGTGGTCCAATGGGGAACAGGCCACGGGGTCCCCCTTCCGTCCGAAGCGGTCAGTATATAAACCGACCACTCGGATAATTTCTTCCTTTTTTTGACCGCCAGAATGTAGGTCAGGTCAGCTTCTGTGGTCGCGCTTTGTGCGTTGGAGGTATTTGTTTTTTTATACTTTATCTTTATGTGATTTGTATGAATGCGACTGTCGATGTTTCTCGTTTTCTTTCATTTTCGTCTAAAACGAGATAGTGAGCATCGGCATGTCTGGTATGCACGTGGTGTGTTATTTTGAAACATTTAAAATGTATTTTTGTGTTTTCTAAACCCGTGGCGTGTGTTTCGGACCACGTGGTTTAGGCCAGTGTGTTAAGGAGTGTTTCCTAAACTAGTGTGAATGCGTGTGTGCATTTACTTGATTGTTTTATGATGTGTTGTTATTGACTAGGATTGGCTTAGTCAATAGTCAGTTGTTTTAGACAGTAATTAGATTAGTATATTTTAGTTGCCTCGAGTTTTAGGCTGTTTAAAATTAATGTGTGTGCTGTTTCGTGCAACGTCATGTTGAGTATCGCTTGCTTTGTGTCTGCCTTCATTGGGACCTTAGCGGAGTGTGTTAACTTTAATGTTATCAATATGGATGTTGTTTAGGTAGACCAATGGCTTCGGGCTTCCTTGTGTAGGAAAGATTGGTTCTACGATGACTTTGTTTACACGTTATTTTTAAGTTGCTAGTTCTTGGTTAGACAGTGGTTAGTTGTGTTTTTGAGAATTGCTTTTAGAATTGTAATAGTAGGGATTAGTTTTACTCGAGGCTTTAGCTAGATAGAAGTAGTAGGTAGCATTTTGAACTTGTGTATATATTTATGTATATATCTGCCATTACCATGCATTTTTCTTATGTTTTCCTTTTCTTTTTTCTTCCCCCCCCCCCTTCCAGTGAGGTTGCTTGGGCAACTTGGCTGGGTGTTTTGTTATATATGAATTGTTTTGTTTGGTTTAAAAAGTTTGTTGTGTACGTATTGTTTTCTACGTAATGTATTGTACGTAACGTATTGTACGTAGTGGTTTTACGTAGTGTTTTGTTTGGTGTGGACTTTTGGATGTCGAGAATGGATGAAGGGAGGTTTCTGTGTGTCAGGGCCTGGACCATCCTAGACATCATAAGTCGGTGCAACACCAGCAAATGGTCAAACGTAATGTTTTCTTTGCTGTAAAAAGTTTGTTTTGTTACAGCGTTTTGTTTCGTTGAGTTCTGTTTGTTTTGTATGTCTTGAGTGTTTTATTTTGTCTAGATCTAGATTCTGGTTTTTTTATAATAACTTTTGGTTCCATATTTATTATTTTGTGAAATAAATTTTATATTATTGTTAAAGTTTTTTTGCTTTTTATTTAGACTAAGGTTAGGTTATTAACCAGTCTGGGTTTAGCCGGGCTTGCACTGACCGGACGGTAGTTAGTTAGATAAGCCTAGGGAAGGGTAGAGTAGATTTTAAGGTATCCCCCCCTAGCAGGGCTTACATATATATATATATATCACCAGATTGTATTAATGCCTCACTCACTAGATTGTATAAATGCCTCACTCACTAGATTGTATTAATGCTTCACTAACTCACTAGATTGTATAAATGCATCACTCACTAGATTGTATTATTGCCTCACTCACCAGAATGTATTAATGCCTCACTCGCTAGATTGTATTAATGCCTTACTAACTCACACAATTGTATTAATGCCTCTCTAACTCATATGAATTCACGGTATACCGAATCAATGAGTGTTTGTCAAATAATTGCTAGTACATCAAATCTTTTTGACATTTATTGTTTAAAATTTTCTAACCTTAACCCTTTATTTGTTTTGTTTAATAACAATGAATAACAAACACCCAACTGAATAAAAAAATGACAGAAAATTATTGAGCCAGGCTACGTAAAATATTATGTCGTATTATGGGAGGGGAGGGGGCGCTTTGGTGTTGAGTCAGCAATGAGGTGACGTTTGTGGTTTGGGTGACCGGGAGGGGGGTGGTATGGTGGCCGTTAATGTTATAGACCTGTATTGTTAGATATTGACAGGGCGAAATGTTTACAGCGCCGTATGTGATACAGAAACGGTTACAGGGTAGAGTTTGAAGGTTTAACTCGGGGTTAAGGGTTTTTCTTAACTCTGAGGTTACGTTAGGTTTTTTTTTTTAAATAGGTTGATATATAGGTGTGGTAAAATCATAGGGTGTATCTTAACACTGAGGTTGCATTAGGGTTATCTTAATAGGTAGACATATAGGTTTACTGTTCAACTTGTGGGGGGGCGACGTGATCGAATGGTAGAGCCTTTGGCTGCCGTCTTGATGGTTTCGTGTTCGGATCTCAGTATGGACTTGTGACTACAAGACATCTGTGAGTTCACCCAGCTCTGATGGGTACCTGACTTAAGTTGGTGGCTGGGCACGCAATACATATTAACTCTACTTCACCAGCCCCGTGGACCGATCGCTAGAAGAGCCCTACTATGCAGCTTAGAGCACACTAATTTCAACACTCACCCCCAGACTCACAAACGACACGTTTTCGTTTTACTATGAAAGTTTTTTATTTTGCTTGTGTTGACTCTATAGCGTTCTGGTCAGATAGATACACAGATACATAGACAGACAGCGAAACTATTATTATACGAGATACTCAAGACTAAACACTAGTTGTAAAATTAACTCTCTCATGTTTTATATCATTGCAGATTGCTCTCATATCAGCATGTAAGTAAAACTTTTGCCTAAGGCTCAACAGAAAAACAAAAAACGTAGAATTTGAGGTAATAAAATTGTCAAAATATACAGGGGGGATAACTTGACTATCCTGTGCAGTTAGTGACACGGTTAAAGTTGCGCCTTCTGTTGTGATGTTGTTTGTTGAATGTTGTGGCCTAGCAGTAGAGAGCTAGACTCCTAACCCGAAAGTCTCGAGTTCGAATTCGGGTTCAACGCATAGTGCTGACCCCACTATCCGTTCATATGCCTAGGTCACAGATGAACTCTACTCATCTACCCTATGTGCACGAACGGGAAACATATTTACTTTTTATTATCTATCCATTATCATCTTTTTTTAAATTTTAATAAGAACCCTACTATGCAGCTTAGAGCACACTAATTTCAACACCCACCCCCAGACTCACAAACGACACACACATATATATACACATAAAAATACGCATATCATTTACATACACATTTGCAAAAAAAAAAAATCATCTTGAGTTAAGAAAAACTAAGCTCGTAAAAAGTTGTGTGTTTTCAAGCAGTTGTCTCTTGATTGATATTTTTTATTAAAAGCAAACAAAACGCCACACAAGCACTAAGCCAGAATAATAGCAGGCGACCCACGCAAATTCTGCTATTCAGCATTTACTGTAGGCTTGTGTAGTATTTGTCGACGTGTATTGTAAGAGGAAACATAGTAGGGTGGTGGGGTCGGTTGGAAAGATTTTAATTATTTTTAATGCATGTAAAAGTTTATTATTAATAACTTTTTTAAAAAGAAGTTTTTCTTATGTTTACTGAAAAATGTCAAAGAATTTATTGGGTTGAGACACGTCTGTTGTTTGATGCGCATCACTCAAACAATGACGTATTCGCGTAAAGCATAAAACACGCTATGCAATCAGAGCTGGGTGGACTCAGGGACGTCAAACAGGCTCAGGGACGTCCTACAGACTCGGGACGTCTTACAGATTCAGAGACGTCATACCGACTCAAGTACGTCCTACAGACTCATGGACGTCTTACAGACACAGGGACGTCCTAATGACCTAGGGATTTTAAACGGACTCAGTGACGTCCTACATATTGTATTAGGGACGTCCTACAGTCAGACTTACATTATAAAAATTGTTTTTAAAAAAAAAATGTGTAATTAATGTAAAGTATGTAAATACCTCCTTGATTAAAATAATATTTTATTTCAAATATCAATAGTAAATATTTTTTTTTCTTTTCTGTTTATGCTGGTTTCGTTATTTAATAAGCACTTGCAACCGTCTATTAATAAACCGGGAGTGATCTCCCCTACACTTTCTCGAATATTCTTATATAACACTACGTGGGATGGCAACTCGGAATATAGACATGATTTTTAATTACTTAAAGTTTTAAAAATAGAATAGAATCTCGTAGAAAAAAGAATTACCAAAAGCGAAAACCCAACCCCAACATAAACCGGGAGTGATTTCCCCTAAACTTTCTCGAATATTCTTATATGAAACAACAGGGAGTGGGAACTCGGGATATAGACATGATTTTTAATCCATTTTAATTACTTAAACTTTTTAAAATAGAATAGAATATTGTAGAAAAAAAGAAATCGCGCACCAAGCGAACGCCAAAACAAAATGTGCATAATAGTGCAGAATATTATTAGTACTTTATAAATTTACATGCGTTTTTTGAGAAATCGGAAATGGCGTAAATTACTACTTCCGGTCAACGGAAATTACTAAAAGGTAGAGGATTAGATCTTTTACTTACACGCGAAATTTCATTCATCTATCTGAAATAGTACTCAAGTTATAGGCTTTTGAAAAATTCAAAGTAGAAAAAGTACCAGTTCCGGTTATCGGAAATCGCTCAAAAGTTAATACGGATTTACTATTTAGATAAAATACTTATATATGAAATTTCATCAACCTAGGTGTAACGGTACTCAAGTAATCGTGTTTATACACACACACACACACACACATACACACAGACATACGGACAAGATTGCAAAATTATGTTTTTCCTACTCACGGATGTGTAAAACGTCGAGATTTGTAAAAAATCTCGATATTTTTTTTTGCACGATTACAAGACTTTCTCTATACTTCTTATATACGAGAAAGTAAAAAGGATGCAATTTCAATGTAGTTGTCTTATTTTCAGAAACAACCTGATTTGTTATTGTTGTTTTGTTTTTGTTTTTAAAAAAAGGATACACCGAGTACAAATTTGTCGTGAATTATTAGCTAAATCTACACCTAATAGTCTTTACGTTTAGTGGTGAAATATTTTATTCGAAAAAAAAATCAAATTGGGGATGGGTTTTTTTTTCAGTATTCCATAGTATCCCTGCCAACTATATGTATATGTAAAGGCAGTAGGCATATTCTGCAGCTTCTAACAGGCTGTAGGTATATTTTGCACTCACAAACTATAGGAATACTCACAAACAGACTATTAGTATATTTTGCACCTACAAACAGCCAGTTTCCATAATATGTAATCATTAAAATTCACACTCAACAAAAACACCATGTATTATTATTTTTAAAATGTGTGATTAAAAACAATAACAATATTGAGATTCGTGATTTTTATTTTTTTGTCAGAACTGATTTTTTTGTAACGCAAGTCATCGCTAGCTGTGTACTGCTCTGTACCTGTGAATAGAACAGTTCAATATCAAATAGTTAGACACACTCAGTAATATCTGAATGAGCTTATCCCATTATATCTTCCTCTCCTTTAAACACTTTTTATCCCCTTTACTTTTTCTCAAAAGAAGTTTATTAGTTTCTCCAGGTTCATCGAAAGAAAAAGATTCGAAATTATTTTACTTGATATCTTGGTATTACAACTAAAACCCCAGGTCTAAACCTAACCCATTCGCTAAAACCAAGAATAGACAGTTATACAGACAGAAATGTACAATTCTTGCTTCCGTTTTGGAGAACTAAGAAATAAATTGCTATAAATAGCATTGCACGCTAGGTAGTGTGTCACTCTTCCCTTCACTCATCGGTTAAGGCAACCGGGCGTAGAACCGGTCAATATATTTGTATTGTAGATTGATATTGAAAGCCACAGAAGGCATTAGAAACACAGTAGGTAGAACTACAAATTTTATGATGCGAAAAGTTACATACTTTATGATGTCTACAACTAAACATTTATGATGAGTACAAATACACACCTTATGATGGGTACAACTACACACTTTATAACAAGCACAACTACACACCTTATAATGGGTACAACTACTCACTTTATAACAAGCACAACTACACACATTATAATGGTTACAACTACACACCTTGTAATGGCTACAACTACAAACCTTATGATGGGTACAACTACACACTTTATAACAAACACAACTATACATCTTATGATGGGTACCACTACACACTTTATAACAAGCACAACTACACACCTTATTTTGAGTTAATATTAGGACACAATCTTCTGATCAGGTCCTGGGATACAAGACTTGAGCCTTGCCCAACCAGAGTTGTCGTTCCCTTGAGTTGGATGTTTTGATTGTAGTAGTCGGCGATGAAGACCTGAATAGATAATAAGAAAGATAGTGAGCTCATTGGGGAATTCGTTTTTCTTCTTCTTTGTTCTTATTTTTTTAAGGTTGAAAGGTATTCCCTCCGGCACAATTAAATGTAACTATCAACTAACGCCATTTCTTCTTAATTGTTAGTGTTGGAAATGGATCGAGCCTTATCTGAGGATTTGAACTCGAGACTTTTCTGTTTAGCAACCATGAGCTTTACCGACCACGCCGAACCCCCCCCCCCCCCCACCCCACCCCCCCACCCCCATTGAAGCTGTTGACTTTCAGCCTGCTTTTCTTTTTGGATTTGCTTCCAGAGTCTTTGTCCAACAAAGAACAAACTATAAGGCAGCAGATGTTTAATTTTGGAGTTTACTCTCAAACACAAGCTATCGAGCCACAGCAACCATGAGCTTTACCAACTCGACCACGCCGAACCCTGAATTTGTTTTTATTACGACGATTTTTCAATAGATTCTCAACTGTTGGTAATTTGGAATTATTTTTCAAGTTCTTTTATGTACTGATTCTTTCTCTATAAATTTATTTTTTTAAAGAATTCACACTTGTATACGCTGTAGCTCAACTCATCTGTTTGGCATATTGCTAACCTCAACCATATACCGTATAGTTTTACATACCAATATGCCCTATTGTTAAACTAGTTTATTTTCACTATAGTTAAACCCCTTGTATAACCATCTGTTATGTTCACTGTACGCCGTATATCTTAACTACATGAACTCCATATAGTTCAACCCATCCTTACACCTTTAGGTTGAACCTACCTGTATGCCCTGGTTGTTTAGCTCTGTTATCTGGGACTTGAGGTCACCCAGAGATTTGATGTCTTTACCCAGCGACAAGACGGCCACCTTCTTGGAGTTCTCCCTGCCACCGTGTTCCGCTGTGTAGGCTTTTGTTCCCAGATACTGCAACAGGTCAATACAACACAAGTTTAGTCTGGTAATTCCCAAAAATTACAACAGGTCAGTGCAATACAGTTAAATAATTAATATTGCCAATGTGTGGGTTGATCGATTTCAATTATAAATAAGATATAATCGGTAAAACTAGCAGAGGTTGATTTTCTAGTTTTTTTTTTTATTTGGTGGAGATGGGGGGGGGGGGGGGGGGGGCTGCCCATTGCCAGTTGCTAATTGATTTTTAAAATTTATGTTCCATGGTAGATATATGCAAGTACTCGTAATGGACATCTTACCAATTGTATGGAGAACCAACATGGTCGTCGTAGCGCACAGACTATCTATATGAACAACCTAGAGGACAAGCCACACAAGCAAAAACCTACAAGTCAGCCCACCTAAAAGAAAACCCAGTAGACAGCTCCCCCTAAAAGAAGACCCAGAACACATCCCACCTAAAAGAAAACCTAGAAGACAGTCCACCTAAAAGGATACCCAGAAGACAGCCCACCTGCAATGACAGCCGATTTTAAAGTACCACTTACCTGAAGAAGATCTTTAACCTTACTCCTGTCGTAGGCCTGGAGCCTCTTCTTAATGTCGTCAACATTGTTGTAGTCATCGAGGTCAAATCCAGCATCATCCGGGCAGGTACCAGAGATAACTCCGTACTGAATTAAAGCAGAATTTTTTATTACTATGTGGCTAAATAGAGTTATCTTATTTATTTACACCAGGGGTCTCCAAACTACGGCCCGCGGGCCGGATGCGGCCCGCGAGGTCCTCTCGTCCGGCCCGCGGAGATCTTTTTGTCAACGGAAAAAACTTTTGTTTGTGATGGCTGAGGAACTTTACTCAGAAAAATCACGACATGCATGGAAGAAACTGGCCCCCGAACTGAATTTGATAGCTAATATGGCCCTCGGACTGAAAAGTTTGGAGACCCCTGATTTACACAACAAATCAGATTCGATTGCGTCGCAAGCAACTCACCTGAAAGCCGTTTTTCATGTCCATATTGTCCATGGTCTGGGAAATGAGTGTCGTGGTCCATGCGATGGCGTCAAGGCCGAGTTGAGCAGGGTCAAAGACGAAATAAATATCAGCAGGGTTGACCTCACCGCAAGCTGTCAGGGGAGAATTCATTTGTCAAGATTTTTCTTAATCATATATATATATATATATATATATATATATATATATATATATATATATATATATATATATATATATATGCACCCTTTCATATCAGAATAATTATATATATATATTATTTATTTTAAATCATTACGAAAATGCAATGTGTTCGTTAAATGGTCCTACCCCATGTAATTTTTTCTTTGAAATGTCCAGAATGTAGAAATACTTACCTGGAATTTTAACCATCGGTGGATTAGCTGGCTTTTCTTTTTCTGTAAGAGAGGTAAGAAGTAAATATTTAGTCACCTTTAGTAACCCGTGTGTCTCGAGTTTTAATCCGTGTTAAAGTTAGTACACCGTCCCTGAGTCCACCCAACTCTGGCTGGGCATAGTGCTGACAACACAATCACTTCATATGCCGAGGACACAGAAACAAGTGAACCCTACTTCACTTGGCCTATAGACCGTTAGGTTTGAAAGAGGAACTTTACTTTTAAAACCCATATTTAATATCAAACATTACAGAAGATAAAAATATTTTGAAAGTCCAATAAAAAGCAAATTGTAAAATTTTACCCAAAAAATTAATACACTATTTAAAATAATAGATACAGTTCTTGAATAATGGTTCAAGTGATGCACACACACACAAAATAACAACTAAACAGAACTTGGAAACAAGGGGAACCCACTGATACAGGTTTTACGAGCAAGCGACTCTTTGATGGACTCGAGCTTGCTGAAGTTGTCGACCCTTGTGACCCTGGCGTGGTCCCCGGCTATGATGTTCAATTCTTCGTCGTGGATGTCGTGGCCGACACCGACGGCGAAAATGTTGATGCCGTCGTTTCTAGCCGATTTAGCTTCCGAGTCGGTCTCTTTCTTTCTGTGGGCAAATGTTGACAGGTTACAGATGTAAGGAGGTATAGGGCGTCAGGTTACATATGTAAGAAAATATTGAGTGTTATAACTGAGTCTATTGTTGATGCTAGCGGGTTAACGCCCGGCCCCCATCTCATATCGTAGGGTTAATACAAATAAAACGGAGTCAGAAATTGTTGGGTTTAACATGGAAATAGACATGGAATAAGACATAGAATACAGCAACATGGTTTTTTCTTGCCTATAATTTACATAGTGAAGGGTTAATCTGTATGAAATAGTACAGATAGTAAACAGACAGCGAGGATTGAATGTTGCCTACAATTCAAACACAGAAAAGGTTTCATCTAACTAAACCAAAGCACAGGCATTAAAGGGTTAATTTAGCTGAAACTACACAACGATTGAGGGTTTAATCTTGCTGAAACTACACGGCGGTTGAAGGATTAATCTAGCTGAAGTAGTACAGACATTAAAGGGTTAATAAAGATGAAATAGCGCAGACATTATAGAATTAATCTAGCTGGTCCGACACAGCCATTGAAGGGTTAAACCAGCCTACGACTTACACCTGGGCGTTGCCGTCTGTGATGACGATGCTGACTTTCTCGGCCTCAGGGCGGACCACAGAGTTGTTGAGCTGCACCACGTGCATGTACTTGATGGCCTTCCCCGTGTCTGTGAACAGCCCTTGTCTGTGGGGGATTTTATCGATGGCCGCAAGGACTTGTTCTTTGGTGGCGTATGACGTCAAGTTAAAGCCGTCCTAGAAAATAGTGGGAGGGGGTTAAAAATTGCGAGATACAGTAACGTCACAAGAGAAGGATAAGCGTTTCAAAACTAGATGAGGAGAAAAATTTATTTAATTAGAATCAAGAAATGCTTTTCTAAATCTGGGATTTTTGGATAAAAGCAAAAACAACACATTATTTTACTTTCTCGTTTACAGAGTATAGAGGAAGTATTAGATCGACATGTGTATGTGTGTGTGTGACCTTGTCATATGAATGAATAATGTGGTCAGCACTAAGCCCAGTCATAATGTAAGCCAGGTACACAGCAGAGTTGGGTCGACTCAGAGATATGCTACGACTCTAGCCAAAGATCCGAACTCGAAGTTTTCAGGTAAAAGTCTAACGTTCTACCTTACGACCCCGCCGTCCCATATAATGCGCATAATTTTAGCGCAATTTCCATTCTGGAGAATTGCGTTTATTAACCCGTCATTTCTGGATGTATGAATGGATGTGTGTCCGCAGCTTTAAGTCGTATCTCCTCCTCAACGAAGTAATATCGAGGACTAGTTCCAAAGCAATTATGTTAAGCAAGTTACGAGGATGAACATAGGCCAAAAATAATTCCGGGTTTCTTTCATGAATTTCCCAGAAAAGCCAAAAAACCTAGAAAAAAAGCAGTTTTTGGCCCATATCTCGGCAACCAGACCACTTAGCGACTTGAAACATATACCAATCGATTCCTGCCATAATTTAGAACAATATTGCCGAAGAAAGTTTTCAAAAATATCCTTTTGTTCGGTCACAAAATTTTTTTTGAATTAATTAAAATTTGGACCGAATTAGTAGGCATTTTTATCCAACCACACCACACGCGTCATCACGTTCAATAGCTGCGCCATCCTGTTCAATGGCTGCGCCATCACGTTCGGTACCTAGGCGCGCAATGGTTTTTAGTCATGTAACTCTATTGTAAATAAAACATGTAAAATACTGAATTTTTTTAAATAAAAAACGTTTTAATAACTAACCAATGGTTTTACTAACCCTGCTCTTGATTAATGCTACGACAGAGCTATTTTTAGATAACATAAGGAAATTGCGCTAAAATTGTCACTAGACTTTTTAATTACCTTGTTTTTAGATTGGGGGTAAAAATGGTATAGAGATAAACAGACGAGATGTATCTACCTGAGGGTAGATGCCCTTGCCGTACGTTATGATAGACACACGGACGTCATTTTTGCCCGTGCCGATGTCGTACTGCTCCAGGAAATCATTCAGGAACTTCTTGGCGATCCGGAAATCTTTATTGCTGATGGAACTGGAGGAGTCCAAGACGATACCCAGCTCGATCGGCATCTGTGTGCAGACTGGGGATTGGTCAGAACAAAACAACGTCAGTTTGGGGGAAATGCGGTCTTTTAGATTATGATTCTACAATGATGCTTTACATTTGGGGAGATACGGTAAATAAAATTATCATTTAACAAACACCCTATTGTGAGAAATAGGGTAATTACTAAGTTAGAATTTTTTTAAAAATATATTTATGGTAAAGACGCGGTAATTGAAACTATTATTTTAAAATACATTATTGTGAGAAATACGGTAATTAAAGTTATGATAAGGCAAAGTTGGAAAAATACGGTAAGAAAAATCCTAATTAAACAACACCAGATACGAGGAAATGCGGTAGTGTAAGTTATAAACAGCAACTTTTACTGCAGAAATACTTCTATTAAAGTCAAAATAAATTATTATATTAAATGGAAATGTGGTAATTAACGTCATAATGAAAAGGTATACAAGGAATTACTACACGCTCTACAGTTAAAATAAAACAATATTAGATGGACAGAAATATCTCTTGCACGTTTTGTGTCTAATTTCAGCTTTGCTTTGCAATGCCTATTTTATAATTTGTAATTCATCATCTTTTCCCGTTAGTGCTCTAGACACATTAGGCAGATGAAGTTCAAATGTTTCAATTATCTCGACATACAGAACGATGGTGTGGTCAGCACTATACCCAGCCGTCTTTGTTTTCCTAAAGTGAATCAGGTACCCATCAAAGTTAAATGGAAGCAATGAGTTTCTATAGGCCCGAGACCGGGTTCCGAGCTCAAGACTATCGGGTCGGTGGTCGAGCGCTCTACTGCTTGGCTACACTATTCCCTTATTAGATGTATTTATTGTATTTGTTTTTACATTTTTATTTCTTTTTAATATCTGGATGAAATGAATTGATATTCTGAAGTGTTGTATTTAAAGGGAAAAAAAATTACTTAGGTTCTCGTCTTTCTTTTCCAAGGTCTCCCATCGTCTGGCTGCCAGAGATTTTAGTTCCTGGATGCTAACTGGGGAGATGATAGAGTAAAAGGATTTAAGTATTGTGGAGATTCAATGTAAACCACAAGAGTGTGGGGGGAGATAATATTTAAACAAAAGGAGTGTTAGGTAGATCCTAATATCAAAACCACATGAGTGTTTGGGAGACCACGGGTAAATCACAGAAATGTTGTGGAGATCACATATAAACTACAGAATTGTTGGGGAGATCATAATATCCAAACCACATGAGTGTTGGGGAGATCACATCTAAACCACATAATTGATGGGGAGATCATAACATCTAAACCACATGAGTATTGGTGAGTTCACATCTAAGCCACAGAATTGTTGGGGAGATCACTAAACCACTCAAGCGTGTTTGGGAGACCCTTGTATTAATTCACAAGTGTCGTGGGTTAAAGAAAATGAAAGAGATAAGAAGAAACATTTTTGTAAGGGAGATCGAGAAAAGATAGAGCAGGTAAAAAGATGATTTAAGCTCAAGGGTATTTGTTTATATGATAAATAATAAGTGATAGATGATAAAAGGTAGATGATAATTGATATATGATAATGATAGAAAATAATTTTAAAAAAGGTGATAATTGATAGATGATAAAAAGTAAATATGTTTCCCGTTCGTGCACATAGAGTAGATGAGTAGAGTTCATCTATGACCTAGGCATATGAACGGATAGTGGGGTCAGCACTATGCGTTGAGCCCGAATTCGAACTCGAGACTTTCGGGCTAGGAGTCTAGCTCTCTACTGCTAGGCCACACCATTCTAAAAGGCTAAAGTTTTACTTACATGCTGATATGAGAGCAATCTGCAATGATATAAAACATGAGAGAGTTAATTTTACAACTAGTGTTTAGTCTTGAGTATCTCGTATAATAATAGTTTCGCTGTCTGTCTATGTATCTTTGTATCTATCTGACCAGAACGCTATAGAGTCAACACAAACAGAATAAAAACTTTTATAGTAAAATGAAAACGAAGCGTGACGTCACATGGAGCATATAGTTATATAGTAGAAAATAGTCTACAGCCGGAGACTGCACACAGTAATATGACGTCATTGATTCTCGAGTAAACATTGAATTAAAAAGCCAATTTTGTCTTCGGGTAAGGGGCAAAGTCCCCCCTCCCACCCCTCTTAAGAAATGATATCATCGATACTCAATAATAAAAAAAAACACTGGCATTACGGCCTAATTGATGTGTCTAATCTTTAAAGTAATTAGCGTGAAGAGTTTCTGTCATGAAACTCATCGGGTAGAGGCGAAGCCCCACCCCCCGGTAGAATGTCTATGCCGATTCCCCCTCCCTCAAAGAAATGACGTCATTGATACTCCATAGTAAAAATACTGATATTACGGCCTAAATTATGTGTCTAATGTTTTAAGTGTTTTGCTTGAAGAGTTTCTCTTCTGGTAGGGGCGAAGCCCCTTTACCTCCCCCCGTCGGTAGAACGTCTAATTCCCCCCCCCCCCCCCTCAAAACAAGGCGTAATATACTTTATATAGAAAATATATACTTTTACCAGTGTTGTCCTCTCCCGACCAGTCGAAATTTATTCGCCCCTGCAAAAATTCAAGTTCCCCATCCCGGAAAAAAAGAGCCTGAAACGAACACTGCGTGAGTGAAATTTATCGGCCAAAAGTAGGAAAAAGTTCTGTTATAGAAGTAACAGAGGGTGGACTAAATGTTTTGGAAGCGGGCGGACACTGGTATAAATATGTTTTCTATAAAAAATTATATTTTGTTGAATGGCGGGTAGACGTGCATTAGGGTGTGGGGGTGTGCGCGGCCGGACCCCCCAAATGCGTGTCGTGTTTGAGATTAGGGATATGACTTCGACTATGTTTTGTATTAATATGCAGTAACTACGCGTAGATCAAGCTTAATTCAGGTTAAAATTGCCGACTCTGGTCAGAAATCCGTTTTCAATTACATTGTTCGTTCCCGTTTGAAATTAAAATTGAGGTTGTGATTTTGTTTTAGTTTCGATTAAATGGAAAAGACAACACTATCAACCTAGCGCCCGTTGTATCTCCCCCTCAACAGGCCATTTATCTCGTCTATAATAATAGTTTCGCTGTCGGTCTATGTATCTACTAGGCATGCTGCCCTGCTTCGCTTAGGCTTTCGAAAACATTGAGAATTTGAATGCTTATTTTATTCGCCCATATAAGGCGCCGGTCAGTCGAGGTCAGTTTTGACCCCCTCATCGTAGATTTTTCGGCCAACCGGCCCCGGTGTTATGTCGCCCCAAGGCAAGATCCTGCCAAATTTGAAGCGCCTGCGTTGCCGGGAAGTGCCCTATCGGGCACCCCACAACTTAGCTTTAAATATTTTAGAGATTAGCAAATTGCATAGATAAACAAAGATTTTAAAAAAGTAATTAAAGCCTGAAATACTTTAGTATAGAAATGTATTATTTGAATAGATTCTAGATCTAGGTAGGGTCTACATCTGTGTAAGTCTAGTTTTTCCGTAGATCTAGATCATCTAGATCTAGAATCTCTAGATCTAGATGATCTAGAATCTCTAGATCTAGATGATCTAGAATCTCTAGATCTAGATGATCTAGAATATCTAGATCTAGATGATCTAGAATATCTAGATCTAGAATCTCTAGATCTAGAATCCAAATAGATAAAATAATTTTTTTAAGTTTAGGCCGAGAAAATCATATTGTATACATTTCATAGCGTACATAGCTCTAAATCATATTTGAATGAAATAGTTCATTTCTTTTGATTCTAAACTCGGAAGATGACGTCATCAGTTTAGTGCTCTTTTTTAGTGTAAACAATAAGCGACGTCATTGTTAAATCTTGTCCCAAGTTTAAATACTTTTCCGGTTGCATAATTAATACTGTTTCTCTACATTCGAATACGCCTTTATTTTTTATTTTTCTGCTTTAAATTAAATTGTGGTTATACATTTAAAACATTTAACATTATTTTCAACAAAAGTCCGTATAAAGTTCTTCATATATTGCTGCAGATTCTGATGTGATGTCCGGCGAAAAACTTTTGCGGACAGACAGAGATATGTGCGTACGTGGGCCATTATATATTAGGATGAATCTGTCAAGAACGCTTTTACTATAGAGAAAACACAAGCAGAGTAAAAACATGCATAGTAATTCGAAAAACGAAACGTGACATCACATGGAGCATAAAGTAAGAAATAGTTGCAAGCCGGAAAAGTGCACAAAGTAATATGACGTCATTGATTCTTGAGTAAACAATTAACTGAAAGCCAATTTTGTCTAATCTTAAAAGTGGTTTGCTTGAAGAGTTACTTACATGTAATTCTTCGGGTAGGGGCGAAGCCCCACCCCCGCTTAAGAACGTCTAAGCTCTCCCCCTCCTGTAGAACGTCTAATCACCCCCCCCCCCCAAACGAAATATAATTTATAAAGAAAATATATACGTTTTCCACTGTCGCCCTCCCCCGCGCCGGATAATTTTATTCGCCCCTGCAAAAATTCAAGTGCCCCAAGTTGGCTCTACTTTTAGTCTGTATGATCTACAAATACGAACAGTGTTTCTAAAAGACTTTTCCTTACCTGAGAGGGGCGTGGGGGTATTTGAAGTTTTCGGGTGTGGGGATGGACTAAATTTTTTGGGAAGAGCGGACAATGATGAAATTATAGGGGATGGTAGACGTGCTTTGAGTTGTGTGTGTGGGTAGGGGCGGGGCGGAGTCTCCATCTCGTTAAGCAGAGTCGCATGAAAGAAATTCTAAATGCGACGTTTGTCATGATTGAGATTAGGTGCAAGGTTTAGGGGTATGGCTACGACTATATTTTGTATCAATATGCAGTAACTACGTGTAGATCAAGCTTAAATCCGATTAAAATGCCGATTCTGAATAAAATTCCGTTTCCAATGTCACAATTTGAAGTTTTTTTGGTGATTTTGGTTTTAGTTTTTGGTTAAGAGAAAAGAGACAACAATATCAACTTAGCGCCCGTTGTATCTTTCCTCAACGGGCCATTTATCTCGTATTTTATGTTTCGGCAATGTTGGAGTAATGTAAACTATTGTTCTATTGCAAGTGCAATGTCTTTAGGTCGTGATATCAAAAGTATAGTGTACTTAAATTCATAATATCAAGTACATTGTACTTTAGTTCATGATGACAAAAAGTACATGCTTCAGACACCATTCTTTTTTTTCAATGTCCATAAAAGCCACTAAAATGGCTATACATGATTCAATTAAAAATTTGCTAAATCTGCGTTACATACTTACAACATACCACAACCTATGTTATAATTTTACTATCCAAAATGTGTTTTCAAGTACAATCTTACTATACTTTACTTCGGTACAACAGATAAAAATTTAAATATGATCTATCATTTTTACAACTTATCTGACCATACCCCTCCCTAACTCATATATTTTTAACATCCTACAAAAAAAAACAAATTTTAATATGATCTAAATTTTTAAAAACTAATCGAAACTTACCTCTAACATGAATATCGCTAGCATAAATTTTCCCATCATTGTGGCAATAGTTTAGAGTTTCGTCGAGATTCTACAAAACAAAAAAAACTGTGTCGTCCTCTAAACAAAGAAAAACTTAACGCTTGAAGCTATATCTAAAAATCCGCAGTCTCTCTCTGTACCCTACTTGGCTGTGAGTGGTCTTCACAGCGAGGGGACTCACTTTATATAGCGTGAAGATTTCAATTAGCACACACTTAGTAGTCTAATTCAGCGGTCTCCAAACTTTTCAGTCCGAGCGCCGCAATAACAATCAAATAACAGTTCGGGGGCCAGAGTTTGTTTAAGGCATCTCTTCGGTTTTATGAAGCCCCCTCCCCCTCAACAAAATATAATTTATATAGAAATATATACAAATTTGAAGTGCACCCCCCCCCCCTTCTCCCGAACAAAAAACTCTGAAAGAAACACTGCCTGGGACCGAAAACACACTAGAGTTGAATAAAACCGCTACTGAAACTGCAGCTGGAGGTCTTTGATGATCTCGCATGCAAATGGCGTGGGGAACTCATTGGTTGCTTCAGCAGTGTAGACCTTGCACTGCTGAGAAAGCGTCAAGTTTTTGGCCTGTACTTGTTCCAAAAACATGACAAGTTTGGATCTGAAGACCTTTAGGTGGATGTATAGATAATAAACTAGATTTCCCTCTTTTGTAGTTTTAAGTTCAGAAAATGTAAATGGCTAGGTATGTCTGCAACAGAGGCCAATTTCTATACCCACTCTTCCTCAGACATTAAATGGCTGTGGCTTACATTTACTTTCCAGGAAGTCCCATAGGGCTAGAGTTAGGGCTTCCTTTCTTAAATTAAATACACTGCTAGGAACTTGCTCGCAACTTAGCCATTTTCTGCTATTAAATATGGTAAAACTTCCAATTCTGTGTTTGCATCTTTCAACATGTCTCTGAACACTATCTATGGTTGAGCCCATGTGACCTTATTAAATTCGCCATCTTCACCAAAAGATTCAATACACTGCTAATGTCTATATATTAAGCACCAAGGCTTGCTGGTGAATAATAGAGTGCAGGAAGATTGGTTCTAGAATGTTTTTCTCTTTCACTTGTCCAACTAAGCCTTTATTTATGCCACTCATGTACTTTTCTACATCAAAAGTCAGGTTACTGAGGTTAGTCCAGTCAAAGTTATAATCAGCAAATGTTTTCTTTAACTCATTGTATATATCCTCTCCTGTAACCATGCCATACATGTTATGTATGGAAAGCCAGCTCTAGTGTTATGATCATGTCGTCATACACACCACTAATGAACACAGCAAATGAGAATAAAATTAAATTAAAAAAATTATTTTAATCAAGGAGGTATTTACATACTTTACAGTAATTACACATTTTTTGTGCATAAAAACTATTTTTATAATGTAAGTCAGGTTGGAGGAGGTCGCTGTTTTTTGACGATTTTACCTCCACCCTCTCCTCCGTCACATGTCGTCACATCAGCCTAACCCCCCCCCCCACCCCCCTCCTCAAAATTGCTGATGAATTTTTCTTAAAACATCGATATTTTTTTGTCCACAATCTTATCTGAACTCTGTCATCATGAAGTATTTTGATCAATTCCTATTTCAATTTATTGAAACCATTTTCTAAAACGCGAATTAACGGCTAAAATTGTTTTTTTAACATTGCTTTTTTATAATGCAAAAAAAGTGACGTCACACCATCTGAACCCCCTCCCCCCTTTCCCCTCATCACACATCGTTAAAAAATTACGGACCCCCCTACCCCTACGAGTGTGACGTCATTTATTGAGGAACCCTTGTGATCTTTTATGCATGAATTTCTCAAGGATTAGATTCATAATTTCAGGTTTGTAAGCATTCTATTTTCATACAGAATAAAAGTTATAATATGTAAATTCAATGGTTTTGTTCTTTTTATTAAAAAAATATGTTTGTTTTCTCTAGTACATTCTTAAAATGATGATTAAAAATGAAAATCTATTGAAATTCATTGTAGTCGAAAATTTTATCGCTGTGGCCCTGTAAAGAATTTATTATTACGAAATTGTTTTTTTGCTTTAAAATTTAAAAAATCAAATTTCATTCCACATTAAAAACAAAAATGCCTTTCTTGTCAGCCAATCCATCTTTAACCGTATTTTCAACTTATATTGGTTATTCATTAATCTTATAACAAGAAAGGGTTTATCATTTTGTTATATTATGTTATATATTATTATGGTAATGGCTAGTAAAACCTTTAGTTCAATAAATTACATTTGACTTTTAAAAATTCTTATTTTTGGAATAGTTCGGCTTATACTAAAAGTTTAAGCAGTTTTCTAAGCATCGCTAAAATAAAGGTTGCCAGATAAATTATTGTAAATAGTAAACAAAACAATAAACGACGAATGCTTGTTCATAGAGAAGCACATATGATTTTAAACATTATTTTCAGAACATTTATAAACTCCTTTTATAAAGTTATAATATTTTTCCAATTGTGTTATTTTTAAATTTGGTTTTTTATTACTTCTACGCCACGCAGTGGCGGATTAAAGGGGGGGGGGGGGGCTGAACAGGTTGCAGTCAGGGGCCCCCGATTTTTAGGGGCTCCTAAATTTCCTTTTTCAATCATATTTAATTACATTTAAAAGCCAGTTTTAATGTTTGAATCACAAGCTTCTTTAAAAAAAATTTGTCAAAATATCAAATTCGAGTACATACTTTAGTATAAATACCAGCTGTCATCACCTCCTCCCTGATACATCAATGTTTACATAAAACCGACGCTCACTAAAATAAATAGTCCGAACAACTTTCGCTTATGACAATGAAATGGGTTGATTTTAGAGTTTAAAAACATAAACAGCGGCCGAATACTGATAATTCAGTTGATGATAGGCTGCTTTTGAAAAATGCACCGCAACTGAAGGTTATTCATTCAGATGGGGTCTACACTGTGAATTAGCTCTCATTCGTAAGCGTTAGACTAACCACAGCAATCAATTAAAAATGCCAGACCTTCTTTTAATTTGCTTACCCGCGACGCTGCTTAGAAAGGTATGAAAAAATGGATTTTCGTTATCAGAAATGGATAGTCGTTTTTTTAAGCATAGGATAGCTAGATCTTGTTATTTTGGATTAAAACTCTTATAGATGCATTTCTTAGTTGCCCATTTGGCCTTTTGATTTTAGTAAATATTAGATAGAGTTCACATATTTAGTTATTCTCTGCAAATGAGGAGATATTCTGATCCGTTCTATGTCTAGATCTATAGCTAGCCGCCTGTAGTTTATAAAATAAGAGATATGTACCCATCTCAGCTGGGTGTTTTTCGACCACCCACCCGCCACATTAGCACATATATTGGACAAATTGTACCAGCCTAATCCATCTCTAGGAACTATGTTGGTCTAAACTTAGGTTACCCTGCAATACTACAACCCACCCAACTCCCATTCCCTGCCCACGTTTATACCGCCCCTGTCAATCAGCCTACGTAAATTGTTGACGTTTTTTGTTTTCCTGACATAATATGACGTTGCTCGAAAGGAGTAATTAAACTGACGAGCTGACTCACGACGTAGCATACGCCGCTATCTAATTGTTTTATTTTCTGCTTATCAGCAATTCATAATTTTTGAATTCGACACTACCACCCCCCGCCCGCCCCCCCCTCCCCCCAATTGAAACGACAATGAAAAGATCAAGCAGAAACTGTTACCTCTATTCCACCTGCACCATAAACTTGTACGTTTCAAAGGGTACAGTGTATGTATCATTATTTTTCATGCTTTCTATGTTATGCTCATTTTGTCTTATTTTAAAAAAAAACACTCACCGACCCCAACCAAATGCGTAATACGGAAATCTTTTTTAATACATAAAAACTCATTTTAATTGTACAAACACACTATTGTGCGAGCATTTACCTACGTATTCCTTTAGCCGCTATTTAAAAAATAAACCGGGAGTGATCTCCCCTAAACTTTCTCGAATATTCTTATATAACTTGGAATATAGAGATGATTTTTAATTACTTAAACTTTTGAAAATAGAATAGAATCCCACAGAGAAAAGAATTGCGCACCAAGCGAACGCCAAAACAAAATGTGCATAATAGTGCGCAATATTATTAGTACTTTATAAATTTACATGCGTTATTTGAGAAATCGAAAATAGCGTAAATTAGTACTTCCGTTCAACGGAAATTACTCAAAATTTGACAGAAAGTAGAGAATTAGATCTTTTACTTATAAGTTAAATTTCATTTGTCTACCTGAAATAGTACTCAAGTTATAGGCTTTTGAAAAATTCAAAGTAGAAAAAGTACCACTTCCGTTTATCGGAAATCGCTCAAAAGTTGATCAGGATCTACGATTTTGATAAAATACTTATATATGAAATTTCATCAACCTAGCTGTAACGGTACTCAAGTTATCGTGTTTACAAACAGACACACAGACAGACACACAGACATACGGACAATATTGCAAACTTATGTTTTTCCGTATCAGTGAGGTGTAAAATGTCGAGATTTGTAAAAATCTCGATATTTTTTTTTTCACGATTACAAGACTTTTTCTATACGAGAAAGTAAAATAATAAAAGACAAGCTAACAAAAGCAGGGGAAATAATTACTCTCCTAATATTGATCAGTGTAAAACTACACAATGAATTGTAATTTTCAAATTTAATCAAATCGATCATTTTGTTAGTCACAGCCAGCTGTTACACATGAACTCTATGCATCTCAACATTGTCATTGTCCAAAATATTTTAAAACAGTATCGCGTCCTTTATTCATCCTTTGAAATGTACGCTTAATTTGAACTTAGCTACTGGGGCATACATCAGATGTAATGAAGCCTTATGTAAACCAGTCAACCTGCGAACATCTACCCCACACTGCCCGTTATTCATAGCAACCTGCTATACATAGAGTTCATGTGTAACAGCTGGCTGTGAATAACGGGCAGTGTGGTGTAGATGTGGATGTGAATGAGGTGTAACATGATGCTGATGGCGGGCAGTGTGGGGTAGATGTAGATGTGGATGTGAATGAGGTGTAATATGATGCTGATGACGCTCAGTGTGCTGTTGATATGAGTGACGGGTTTTGTGCTGTTGATGTGGATGGCCAGTAGTGTGGTATAGATGTTTTTGATGTATAAATCGGTGTAGACTCATAAGAGTAGATTGTAATAAACTATTATATTAAATAATAACAAAATGGTCGATGTGATTAAATTTGAATATTACAATTTAATGTGTAGGTTTACACTGATCAATATTAGGAGAGTAATTATTTCCCCTGCTTTTGTTAGCTTGTCTTTTAATATTTTTTTTTAAATAGCGGCTAAAGGAATACGTAGGTAAATGCTCGCACATTGGTGTGATTGTACAATTAAAATGAGTTTTTATGTATTAAAAAAGATTTCCGTATTACGCATTTGGTTTGGGGTCGTTGAGTGATTTTTTTTCTAATAAGACAAAATGGAAGGTTAGTGATGTACCTACATACCATATGCATGTTTTAGAAAGCATGAAAAATAATTATACGTACACTGTACCCTTTAAAACCTGACAGTCTATGGGGCATATGGAATAGAGATAACCTTTTTTTCTAAAGACGATTAAAGCGCGCCAGATCATTATAAAATATTATAAAATATTTTAGAGAACAACAATATTGACATGCAAAGTGTTCATGTATAACAGGTTGCTATGAATAACGGGCAGTGTGGGGTAGATGTTCGCAGGTTAACTGGTTTACATAAGGCTTCATTACATCTGATGTATGCCCCAGTAGCTAAGTTCAAATTAAGCGTACATTTCAAAGGACGAATAAAGTGCGCAATACTGTTTTAAAATATTTTGGACAATGACAATGTTGAGATGCATAGAGTTCATGTGTAACAGCTGGCTGTGAATAACGGGCAGTGTGGTGTAGATGTGGATGTGAATGAGGTGTAATATGATGCTGATGGCGGGCAGTGTGGTGTAGATGTGGATGTGAATGAGGTGTAATATGATGCTGATGGAGGGCAGTGTGGTGTAGATGTGGATGTGAATGAGGTGTAATATGATGCTGATGGCGGTCAGTGTGGTGTAGATGTGGATGTGAATGAGGTGTAATATGATGCTGATGGCGGGCAGTGTGGTGTAGATGTGGATGTGAATGAGGTGTAATATGATGCTGATGACGCTCAGTGTGCTGTTGATATGAGTGACGTGTTTTGTGCTGTTGATGTGGATGACCAGTAGTGTGGTATGGATGTTTTTTATTTATAAATCGGTGTAGACTCATAAGAGTAGATTGTAATAAACTATTATATTAAATAATAACAAAATGATCGATTTGATTAAATTCAATTCAATGTGTAGGTTTACACTGATCAATATTAGGAGAGTAATTATTTCCCCTGCTTTTGTTAGCTTGTCTTTTAATATTTTTTTAAATAGCGGCAAAAGGAATACGTAGGTAAATGCTCGCAAATTGGTGTGTTTGTACAATTAAAATGAGTTTTTATGTATTAAAAAAGATTTCCGTATTACGCATTTGGTTGGGGGTCGTTGAGTGATTTTTTTTTCTAATAAGACAAAATGGAAGTTAGTGATGTACCTACATACCATATGCATGATTTAGAAAGCATGAAAAATAATGATACGTACACTGTACCCTTTGAAACGTACAAGTTTATGGGGCAGGTGGAATAGAGGTAACAGTTTCTGCTTGATCTTTTCATTGTCGGTTCAATTGGGGGGAGGGGGGCGGGCGGGGGTGGTAGTGTCGAATTCACAAATTATGAATTGCTGATAAGCAGAAAATAAAACAATTATACAGCGGCGTATGTAACGTCGCGGGTCAGCTCGTTAGTCTAATTAGTCCTTTCGAGCAAACAAAAACCGTCAACAATTTACGTAGGCTGATTGACTGGGGCGGTATAAACGTGGGCGGGGAATGGGAGTTGGGTGGGTTGTAGTATTGCAGGGTAACCTAGACCAACATAGTTACTAGAGATGGATTAGGCTGGTACAATTAGTCCAATATATGTGCTAATGTGGCGGTGGGTGGTCGAAAAACACCCAGCTGAGATGGGTACATATCTCTTATTTTATAAACTAAAGGCGGCTAGCTATAGATCTAGACATAGAACGGACCAGAATATCTCCTCTTTTGCAGTTAACAACTAAATAAGTGAACTCTACCTAATATTACTTATAATCAAACGACCAAATGAGCAACTAAGAAATGCATCTAGAGAGTTTTAATCCAAAATTACGGTCCTAGGACCTTTGACCACAGGTGCTTTGACCATAGGGGGTTTGACCATAGGGGGTTTGACCACAGCGGAGCTTTGACCATAGGGGCTTTGACCATAGGGGGTTTGACCACAGCGGGGCTTTGACCATAGCGGAGCTTTGACCATAGGTGGTTTGACCATAGGGGGTTTGATCATAGGGGGTTTGACCACAGGTGTTTTCTTAGCAGAGGGTCTTTGATCACAGGTGGTCTATCAACTGGTGTGTGATCACAAGCGCTGCGTCCGGCTTTGATCATAGTTGTTTTGTCCCCATAGGGTCTTTGATCTCAGGTGTTTTGTCCACATAGGGTCTTTGATCTCAGGTGGTTTGTCCAATGCTGTCCATATATGGTAAGGATTTATTTTAAAAGTTGCTAAATTATATTTTAAATTTCGACATGATGTAATAATATTGTCAAACAGAGGTACTGACATATTTGCTTGCTATAGCACATCTGTCATTTAGTTAACCATTTTATGTATTACATCTTTGACTTTATTGTTGGCAAGTTTTGTATCATTTTTTATCCTTTATATATGCTATGTATTTTCAAGTACTTCTACATTATTTATTTGTGAAACTTGTTATATGTCGCATTATTTGTGTTTCATTTATATTTAAAATAAATCTATGAGGCCTAGCACCAGCCTTTATGTGGAGAATAAAATATAGTTCTTGGCTTTTTTAAATACATGTTAATTTCTATTAACGTACTCTCAGGAAACATGTATAAAATCGTATTAATTGTATCACACGTATGATCAAAGCCGGACACAGCGCTTGTGATCAAACACCCGTTGATAGACCACCTGTGATCAAAGAGCCTCTGCTGAGAAAAAACATGTGGTCAAACCCCCTATGGTCAAACCACCTATGATCAAACCAACTATGGTCAAAGCACCGCTATGGTCAAAGGCCCGCTGTGGTCAAAACCCCTATGGTCAAAGCACCTGTGGTCAAAGGTCCGCTGTGGTCAAACCCCCTATGGTCAAACCCCCTATGGTCAAAGCACCTATGATCAAACCACCTATGGTCAAAGCACCGCTATGGTCAAAGGCCCGCTGTGGTCAAAACCCCTATGGTCAAAGCACCTGTGGTCAAAGGTCCGCTGTGGTCAAACCCCCTATGGTCAAACCCCCTATGGTCAAAGCACCTGTGGTCAAAGGTCCGCGCACCAAAATTACAAGATCTAGATATCCTATGCCTAAAACAACGACTATCCAAAACCTCACTTCTAATAAAAAAAATCCATTTTTTTTCATACCTTTCTTAGCAGTGTAGCGGTCCGGCATTTTTAATCGATTGCTGGGGTTATTCAGTAGTGTTGCTTTTCTGAATGCTTGCGAGTGAGAGCTAATTCACAGTGTAGACCCTATCTGACTGAATAACTTTTAGTTACGGTGCATTTTTCAAAAGGCGTCTATCATCAACTGATTTGTCAGTATTCGGACGCTGTTTGTGTTTTTAAACTCTTGAATCAACCCATTGTATTATCACAAGCGAAAGCTGTTCGGAATATTTATTTTAGTGATCGTCTGTTTCGTGTAATCAATGTATGAGGGAGTAGGTGATGACAGCTGGTATTTATACTAAAGTGTGTACTCGTGTTTGATATTTTGAGAAAAAAAACACTGAAATAAGCTTGTTATTCAAACATTAAAACTGGGTTTTAAGTGAAAATTAATATCATTGAAAAAGGAAATGTGTGGGCCCCTAAAAATCGGGGCCCTAACTGCAGCCCTTTCAGCCCCCCTCCCCTTTTTTTTTTTTTTTATCCGCCATTGCTTGGCGTAGAAGTAATAAAAAAACAAATTTTAAAAAGAACGAAATTGGAAATATTGTAATTTTATAAAAGGAGTGTATGAATGTTCTCAGAATAATGTTTAAAAACATACTTGCTTTTCTGTTTAAAAGCATTGGTCGTTCATGGAATCTCTTGCAAATTGTAGCGATAAATCCTTTACTAGAGATAGCAAGTTTATTTAATTTCATTTTTGTTGTCAGTGCTATTCATAAGCTTATTTCTATTAAGATTTTATAATTGATTGGTTTTCTATTTACAATAATTTATCTGGCAGCCTTTCATTAACCTTAGAAAATATTGCTTAAACTTGTAGTATTAAGCGAACTATTAAAAAAATTAAGAATTTTAAATAGTCAAATGCAGTTTATAGAATTACAGGTTTTACTAGCCATTACCATATATAAAATGATATAATAAAATGATAAACCCTTTCTTATTATAAGATAAATGAATAACCAATATAAGTTGAAAATACGGTTAATGATGGATTGGCTGACAAGAAAGGCGTTTTTGTTTTTAATGTGGAGTGAAAATTGATTTTTTAAATTTTAAAGCAAAAAAAAACAATTTCGTAATAATAAAAATAATAAATTCTTTACAAGGCCACAGCGATAAAATTTTCGACTACAATGAATTTCAATAGATTTTCATTTTTAATTATCATTTTAAGAATGTACTAGAGAAAACAAACATATTTTTTTAAATAAAAAGAACAAAACCATTGAATTTACATATTATAACTTTTATTGTGTATGAAAATAGAATGCTTACAAACGTGAAATTATGAATCTAATCCTTGAGAAATTCATGCATAAAAGATCACAAGGGGTCGTCCATAAATGACGTCACACTCGTAGAGGGGAGGGGTCCGTAATTTTGTGACGGTGTGTGATGTGGAGGAGAGGGATTCAAATTGTGTGACGTCACTTCTTGCATTATAAAAAAAGCAATGTTAGTAAACTAAGAAAATGGTTTCAATAAATTGAAAAATGAATTGATCAAAATACTCTATGACAGAGTTCTGACAAGATTTTGGAAGAAAATATAGATGTTTTAAGAAAAATTCAACAGAAATTTTGAAGGGGGTTGTAGGCTGAGGTGTTACGTCGTTTTAGGTAGGGGGGGTTCTGACTTTTTTTGATGACGTGTGAAGGAGGAGAGGGGGGACGTAAAAATCGTCAAAAAGCGTGACGTCATTAATGGATGACCCCCCAATCAGACTTACATTATAAAAATTGTTTTTATGTACAAAAATTTGCAATTAATGTAAAGTATGTAAATACTTCCTTGATTAAAATAATATTATTCTATTTCAAATATCAATATTAAATACATTATTTTTTCTTTTCTGTTTTTGCTTGCTTCGTTATTTTAAAAGCACTTGCAACCGTCTATAAAAAAGATGCAATTTCAGTGTAGTTTTCTTTTTTTCAGAAACAAACTGATTCGTTGTTATCTTTTTTTTTTTTTTTTTTTTTTTTTTTTTTTCAAAACAAGGATACACTGAATACAAATGTGTCATGGATTATGAGCTAAATCTACACCTAATAGTCTATACGTTTAGTGGTGAAATATTTTATTCAAACAAAAAATCCGAATTGGGGATATATTTTGGGTTATTCCATAGTATCCCTGCCCACTATATGTATATTTAAAGTCTGTAGGCATATTCTGCAACCTCTAACAGGCTTTAGGTATATTTTAGACCCACAAACAATAGGAATACTCACAGACTATTGGTATATTTTGCACGTACAAACGTACAATTTGTAATCATTAACATTCACACTCAACTGTTTTACAAACAATAAAAACCATGTATTATTATTTTAAAAATGTGTGTATAAAACTAATCACAATATTGAGATTCTTGCTTTCTATTTTTCGTCATCACTGTTTGCGTAGCTACATCATCACTTTTTGCGTAACGCAAGTCATCGCTGGCTGTGTACCGCTCTGTACCTGTATAGAACAGTTCAATAACTATTAGTTGATCACACTTGTTAATATTTAAATAAGCTTCTTCCATTCTATCTTCCTCTCTTTTGAACACTTTTTATCCCGTTTACTCTTTCTCAAAAGACGTTTATTTTTTTCTCGATGTTCGTCAAATGAAAAAAATTCGAAATTTATTTTATTTAATATCTTGGTATCACAACCAAAATCCCAGGTCTAAACCTAACCCATTCGCCAAAACCTAGAATAGACAGTTATATAGACAGAAATGTACAATTCTTGCTTTCGTTTTTGGAGAACTAAGAAATAAATTACTATAAATAGCAATATACTCTTGGTAGTGTGTCACTCTTCCCTTCACTCATTGGTTAAGGCAACCGGGCGTAGAACCGGCCAATATATTTGTATTGTAGATTGATATTGAAAACCGCAGAAGGCATTAGAAACACAGTAGGTAGAACAACACACTTTATGATGGGTACATTTACACACATTATCAGGAGAAAAGATGCATACTTGATGATGTCTTCAACTGCACAATTATAATGAGTAAAGATACACACGTTTTGATGAGCACAACTACAAACCTTATGATGAGAACAACTACACACTTTATAACAAGCAAAACTACACAACGTATGATGGGTACAACTACACACTTTATAACAAGTACAAATACACACTTTATGATGAGTACAACTACACACTTTATAACAAGCACAACTACACACTTTATAATAAGTACAAATACACACTTTATAACAAGCACAACTACACACCTTATGATGAGTACAACTACACACTTTATAACAAGCACAACTACACACCTTATGATGAGTACAACTACACACCAACTCTACACCTTATGATGGGTACAACTACACACTTTATTATGGGAACAACTACACTCCTTATGATGAGTACAACTACACACCTTATAATGGGTACCACTACACACTTTATATCAAGCACAACTACACACCCTATGATGAATACAACTACACACCTTATTTTGTTGCGGCCAAGTTGGGACACAGTCTGTTGACCAGGTCCTCAGACACTTGCCTTGACCCTCGCCCAAACAGAGTTGCCGCTCCTTCGATTTCGATGTTACGGTTGTAGTAGTCGGCAATGAAGACCTGAATAGATAAAAAGAAAAATAATGAGCTCAATGGGAATTCGTTTTTCTTCTTCTTCCTCGTTCTAATTTTTTTTTGGGGTTGGAAAGGATTCCCTAAAGTGCAATTAAGTATACGTGTCAACTGGTTATGCACCATATGTTGACTCCGACTTCAGACATCTTTTCACCATTTTGGATTTGCTTCCATAGCCAAACAAGAACAAACCACAAGGCAGCAGTTGTTTGATTTTGGAGTTTTCTCTCCTAAAAGATTTGCTGCCCCCAACTATCGAGCCTCATCAAATTCGCGACTTTTCTTGGTTTAGCAACCATGAGCTTTACCGACTCTACCACGCCGACCCCGAAATTCGATTTGATTACGATGATTTTTAATAGATTCTCAGCTGTCGTTTATTTGGATTATTTTTCAAGTTCTTTTATATACTGAATTTATCTCTTTGAATTTTTGAAAGACCTCACTCTTGTATACGCTATAGCTCAACTCATCTGCATGACATATTGCTAACCTCAACAATATACCGTATAGTTTAACATACCAACATGCCCTATTGTTAAACTAGTTTATTTGCACTATAGTATAACCATCTGATAGGCTCACCTGATATGGCTTAACCCACATGTATAATCACCTTTGGGTTAAATCCAACTTTATGTCCTATGGCTTAACCCACATGTACTCCATATAGTTCAACCCACCCCTAGACCTTTAGGTTGAATCCACCTTTATGTCCTATGGCTTAACCCACATGTACTCCATATAGTTCAACCCATCCCTACACCTTTAGGTTGAACCCACCTTTATGTTCTATGGCTTAACCCACATGTACTCCATATAGTTCAACCCATCCCTACACCTTTAGGTTGAACCCACCTTTATGTTCTATGGCTTAACCCACATGTACTCCATATAGTTCAACCCATCCCTAGACCTTTAGGTTGAACCCACCTGTATGCCCTGGTTGTTTAGCTCTGTGATCTGGGACTTGAGGTCACCCAGAGATTTGATGTCTTTACCCAGCGACAAGACGGCCACCTTCTTGGAGTTCTCCCGACCCCCGTGTTCCGCTGTGTAGGCTTTTGTTCCCAGATACTGCAACAGGTCAATACAACACATGTTTAGTCTGGTAATTCCCAAAAATTACAACAGGTCAGTACAGTACAGGTAAATTATTTATCTCGTCAATGGGTGGGCTGATCTATTTTAATTATAAATAAGATATAATTGGTAAAACTAGCAGAGGTTGGTTTTCATGTTTTATTTTTTTTATGGGGGGAGTGGGTGTTGTTGCCTACTGCCTGTTGTAAAATTTAATTAATTTGTTTCTGTTCCGTGGAAGATATTGTCCACTGCTGGTAATGGTAAGCTCGCCACATTAATGGAGAACCAAGATGGTCGTCGTAGCGCACATACGATCTATACAAACAGCCTATAGGGCAAGCTATATGAGGAAAACCTACAAGTCAGCTTAGCTGAAGAAACAACCTAGAAGACACTCCACTTGAAAAAAACAGCTTAAAAGACAGCCCCCCCTAAAAGAAACCCGAGAAGACAGCCCACCTAAAAGAAGACCCCGAAGACAGCCCACCTACAAGAAGACCCAGAAGACAGCCCACCTAAAAGAAGACCCAGAAGACAGCCCACCTAAAAGAAAACCGAGAAGACAGCCCACCTAAAAGAAGAACCAGAACACAGCCCACCTAAAAGAAAACCGAGAAGACAGCCCACCTAAAAGAAAACCCAGAACACAGCCCACCTAAAAGAAGACCAAGTAGACAGCTCCCCCTAAAAGAAGACCCAGAACACAGCCTACCTAAAAGAAGACCCAGAAGATAGCCCACCTGCAATGACAGCCGATTTTAAAGTAACACTTACCTGGAGAAGATCTTTAACCTTACTCCTGTCGTAGTCCTGGAGCCTCTTCTTAATGTCGTCAACATTGTTGTAGTCGTCGAGGTCAAATCCAGCATCATCCGGGCAGGTACCAGAGATAACTCCGTACTGAATTAAAGCATAGTTACATTTTCTTGAATTCGCTCGTCGTTTTTACTTTCTCGTATATACGAAGTATAGAGAAAGTCTTGTAATCGTGCAAAAAAAAAATCAAGTTTTTATGCAAATCACGACGTTATACAGCTCCCTGCGTCGGAAAAACATAGTTTGTATGTATGTCTGTATGTATGTGTGTGTCTGTCTGTCAGTCAAATTAAATACGATAACCTGAGTACCGTTACATCTACGTTAATGAAATTTCAAATATGTAAGTGTTATATCAAATTTGTTGATCCGTATAAACTTTTCAACGATTTCCGATAACCGGAAGTGGAACTATTTTACATTCAATTTTTCAAAAACCTATAACTTGAAGTCTATTTCAGAAGATAAATGAAATTTCACTTGTAAGTAAAAGATCTAATTCTCTGCCTTCTGTCAAATTTTGAGTAATTTCCGTGGACCGGAAGTAGTACTTTTCGCTATTTCCGATTTCTCAAAAAACGTATGTAAACTTATAAAGTACTAATAATATTCCGCACTATTATATACATTTTGTTTTGCGTTCACTTGGTGTGCAATTATTGTTTCTTCGAGATTCTATTCTATTTTTAAAAAGTTTAAGTAATTAAAAATGGATTAAAAATCATGTCTATATCCCGAGTCGCCATCCCCAGTTGTTTTACATAAGAATATTCGAGAAAGTTTAGGGGAGATCACCCCCGGTTTAATTTATTTTTATGTGGCTAAATAGAGTTATCGTCTTATTTATTTACATAATACATCAGATTCGCAATGACCTCACCTGAAAGCCGTTATTCATGTCCTCAGTGTCCAGGGTCAGGGAAATGATTGACGTGGTCCAGGCGATGGCGTCAAGGCCGAGTTGAGCAGGGTCAAAGACGAAATAAATATCAGCAGGGTTGACCTCACCGCAAGCTGTCAGGGGAGAATTCATTTGTCAAGATTTTTCTCACATAAATATATATATATATATATATATATATATATATATATATATATATATATATATATATATATATGTGTGTGTGTGTGTGTGTGTGTGTGTATATATTTATATTTATATATATATATATATATAAATATATCAGCATAATTATATACAAATTATTTATTTTTAAATCATTACAAAAATGCAATGTGTTCGTTAAATAGTCCTACCCAGGGTAATTTTTTTTTCTATGAAATTCTAGAATGTAAAAATACTTACTTGGACTTTCAACCATCTGTGGAGTAGTTGGCTTTTCTTTTTCTGTAAGGGAGGTAAGAAGTGAATATTTAGTCACCATTCTGTGTAAATATAAATTGATTATGGTTCATAGTTTCTAGTCCTGTTGTCTTTACGTTTGAAGGAAAAGATTCTTTAATACGACTAGTTGTAATTAATAGGATAAAAGTTAAGCAGTACCATATACAAGGCAATTTTTTTTTAAAAGTAATTTAAAGAACAAAATGAAATTCAGGAGCTATTTTACGTAGGTTAAAACCCATATTGGGGACGGAGTGGTCTAGCGGTAGAGAGCTAGACTGCAAACCCTTGAGTCTCGAGTTTGAATCCGGGTTCAAGTCTGTAAACCATCCCTGAGTCCACCCAACTATGATGGGTACCTAACTCACGTTAGGCAAAGTAAAGGCGGCTGGGCATAGTCCTTACCACACTATATCTTCATATGCCGAGGTCACAGAAACAAGTGAACTCAACTTCACTTACCCTATAGACCGTCAGGTTTGAAAAGGGAACTTTATTTTACTTATAAAACCCATATTGAAATTTGAATATTAAAAAAAGATAAAAATATTTTGAAAAGTCTAATAGAAAGCAAATTGTAAAATTTTACCCAAAAAATTAATACACTATTTAAAATAATAGATGCAAATCTTGAATAATGAAAGTCCTAGAAAACAAGGGGAACTCACTAATACAGGTTGTACGAGCAAGCGACTCTTTGATGGACTCGAGCTTGCTGAAGTTGTCGACCTTGGTGACCCTGGTCTCGTCCCCGGCGATGTTGCTCAGTTCTTCGTCGCGGATGCCGAGGCCGACGCCGATGGCGAAAATGGTGATGCCGTCGTTTCTAGCCGATTCAGCTTCCGCTTTGGTCTCTCTCCATCTGTGGGCAAATGTTGACAGGTTACAGATGTAAGGAGATATTGGGCTACAGGTTACATGTGTAAGGAGATATTGGGCGTCAGGTTACATATGTAAGGAGATATTGGGCGTCAGGTTACATATGTAAGGAGATATTGGGCGTCAGGTTATATATGTAAGGAGACATAGGGCGTCAGGCTACATATGTAAGCAGATGTTTGATGTAGGATTACACCTGTAACCAAAAGTAGTATCAGATTACATCTGTAAGCTGAATATAAATTCACAGACATCGTAGGGTTAATATAAATAAAACGCAGACATTGTTGAGTTAACATGGAAGCAGACAGAAGAACGTCAATTTCGCCTACAAGACAGACACAGCAAAAGGGTTTTTTTCTTGCCTAAATAGCGCATCCAAATGGAGGGTTAATCTAGATGAAATGGTACAGATAGTAAATAGTTTATGTTACAGACAGTGGGGAATAAATGTTTCCTACAATTCAAACACAGAAAAGGTCTCATCTAGCTAAAAATAAAACCACAGGCATTAAAGGGTTAACTTAGCTAAAGCAACTCATATATTGATGGGTTAGTTAAACTGAAGCAACACAGACATTAAAAGTTTAATCTTGCTAAAGCAACAAGGCCATTAAAGGATCAATCTAGCTGAAGTAGCATAGACATTGAAGGGTTAACTTAGCTGAAGCAACTCATATATTGAAAGGGTTAATCTAGACGAAATAGAGCAGATATTGAATGGTTCATCTAGCTGAACTAGCACAGCCATTGAAGGGTTAATTTAGCTGAAGCAACTCATATATTGAATGAGTTAATCTAGACGAAATGGCGCAGATTTTTAATGGTTCATCTAGCTGAACTAGCACAGCCATTGAAGGGTTAAACCTGCCTACGACTCACATCTGGGAGTTGCCGTCTGTGATGACGATGCTGACTTTCTCGGCCTCAGGGCGGACCACAGCGTTGTTGAGCTGCACCTCGTGCATGTACTTGATGGCCTTCCCCGTGTCTGTGAACAGCCCGGCCCTGTGGGGGACGTTACCGATGGCCTCCAGGACTTGTTCTTTGGTGGCGTATGAGGTCAGGTTAAAGGCGTCCTAGAAAATAGTGGGAGGGGGGTTAATCAAGATGAAATGGTACAGATAGAAAATGGTTTATGTTATAGACAGAGAGGAATGAGTGTTGCCTACAATTCAAACACAGAAAAGGTCTCATCTAGCTTTAAAAAAGCACAGGCATTAAAGGGTTAACTTATTTAAAACAACTCATATATTGAAGGGTTAATTTTGCTGAAACAACATGCGAGATACAGTAACGTCACAAGAGAAGGATGAGCTCGTTTCAAAAATAGATGAGGAGAAATTTTCTTTAATTACAATCAATAATTTTTTTTAAATTTTAAGTTTTTATGGACAAAATAAAAACCAACGTATTATTTTTTTTAAGTTGAAAAATAACAACACCTTTTAAAAATGAATCGTGTTTGTAAATAAAATTGTTATTTGTTTTGTTTTCACATACTTTTTTGATTTTCTATCATCTTAAAATGAAAATAAAAGAGCATAAAGTGAAAGTAAAGTTTCCGTTTGAACCTGACAGTCTGTGAGGCAGGTAAAATAGAGTTCACCTGTTTCTCTGACCACGGAATATGAAGGAACTGTGTGGTCAGCATTAAGCCAGCCGTAACGTAACCCAGGTACCCATCAGAACTGGGTTGATGGGTTGACTTATTGATAGGCTACAATTCTAGCTAGGGATCCGAACGCGAGGTTTTCGGGTTTAAAGTGTAACGCTCTACCTTTCGACCACGCCGTCCCATATAACGAGCATAATTTTTAGCGCAATTTCCTTTCTGGAGAATAGCCTTTATTAACTCGTCATTTCTGGGAATGGATGGATGGATGGATGTGTGTCCGCAGCTTTAAGTCGTTTTTAAGTCGTATCTCCTCCTCAACGAAGCAATATCGAGGACTTGTTCCAAAGCAAATATGTTAAGCAAGTTCCGAGGATGAACATAGGCCAAAAAATTCCCGGAATTACTTCCTGGATTTCCCGGAAAAGCCAAAAACCTCGAAAAAATGCAGTTTTTGGCCCATATCTCGGCAACCAGACCACTTAGCGACTTGAAACATTTACCAATCGATTCCTGCCATAATTTAGAATAATATTGCCGAAGAAAGTTTTCAAAAATATCCTTTCGTTCGGCCACAAAAAATTAATTAAGAATTTTTAAACTGAGCGTCGTGTAGGCCTAGGATGATTTTGCGCAAAGCGCTGAGGTTCGAAAGGATTTTACCATAGCGAATGAGCGGAGGTTCGAAAGGATTTTTTTTCGACTGATACGGGAGGCTAGCCTGTCGCGACGTGGGATCGTTCGCGTCACTGCGCGCGGCAAGAGAGAGAGAGAGAGAAGTCAAATACTGATATAAACGTTTTAATATTTGGGCACCGTTGCTGAATATATGATTTATCTCGATTTAAAATTGTTATGGATAACATAAGGAAATTACGCTTAAATTGTCACTAGACTTTTTATTAACTTGTTTTTTATATTTTAGAAGCAGACGAGATGTACCTACCTCAGGGTAGATGCCCTTGCCGTACGTTATGATAGACACACGGACGTCGTTTTCGCCCGTGCCTATGTCAAACTGCTTGAGGAAATCCTGCAGGAACTTCTTGGCGATCCGGAAATCTTTCCGGGGGATGGAACTGGAGGAGTCCAAGACGATACCCAGCTCAATCGGTTCTTGTGTGCAGACTGGGGATTGGTCAGAATAAAGCAACGTCAGTTTGGGGGAAATACGGTAATTTACATGATCAAATCATTTTAAAATAAAACATTGATTGAGGGATATCCGGTAATTTAAATAATATTTTTTTAAAAGATAAGATTTGGAGGAATACGGTAATTAAGTTATAATTTTACAATAAAACATAGGATTGGGTAAATACGGTAATTTAAAAATCCTAATAAAACAACATCAGCTTGAAGGAAATGCGGTAGTGTAAGATATAAACGGCAATTTTTACTGTAGAGATAATTTTATTTAAGTCATAATAAGTTATTATATTGAATGGAAACAAGGTAATTAACTTTATAATGAAATGGTATCCTATGAGTTAATACACGCTCTACAGTTAAAATAAAACATTATTGGATTGACGGAAATATATCTCGAAATTTTGTGTCGACTTTCAGCTATGCTATTCAATGCCTGTTTAATAATATGTAATTCATCATCTTTTCCCGTTCGTGCCCTAGACACATGGGGCAGATGAAGTTGATTTCAACTGTTTCAATGACATACAGACCGATAGTGTGGTCAGCACTATGTCCAGCCGCCTTTGCTTTCCTAACGTTTAGCCGTCAGAAGCCGAGTGCTATACTGCTCTGGTAAGCCACTCCCTTATAATATGTAATTATTGTATTTATTTTTACATTTTAATAAAAAAAAATTAAATATCTGGATCAAATGATTGGATTATCCGAAGTCCTGTATTAAAAGAAAGAAATTATGAGGTAGTCGCCTTTCTCTTCCACGGTCTCCCGGCGTCTGGGTGCCAGAGATTTTAGTTCCTGGATGCTGACTGGGGAGATGATAGAGTAAAAGGATTTAAGTATTGTGGACTGGCGAGATTTTAGTTCCTGGATGCTGACTGGGGAGATGATAGAGTAAAAGGATTTAAGTATTGTGGACAGTGTCGAGATTTTAGTTCATGGGAAGATGATAGAGTAAAGGGATTTAAGTATTGTGGAGATACCATGTAAAGCGCAAGAATGTCAGGGAGACAAACTTTAAACCACAAGAGTGTGGTGGAGATTATATTTAAACCACATGAGTGTTTGGAAAATCACAAAGTAAACCACTAAAGCGTGTTGGGGAGATACCATATTAAGTACCAGGAGTCGTGAGTTAAAGAGAATGAAAGAGAGGTGAAACGAGAAGATAGAACATTTGTTTAGATGATAAATGGTAAGTGGTAGATGATAAAAGGTAGATGATAATTGATATATGATAATGATAAAAAATAAAATAATACGTGATAATTGATAGCTGATGAAAGGTAAATGGTAAATTTATCGAAGATAAGGTATTTGATAAATCAGCATGTTTCCCGTTCGTGCCAAAAACACATAGGGCAGATAAGTAGAGTTCATCTGTGACCTCGGCACATGAAGGGATAGTGTGGTCATCACCATACCTTGAGCCCGAATTCGAACTCGAGACTTTCTGGTTAGGAGTCTAGCTCTCTACCGCTAGGCCACACCGTTTAATAAACAAACAACAGCACAACAGGGGACGCTACTTTAACCTTGTCACTGCGCATAATTGTCAAGTTATCTCCCCTGTATATTTTGACATGCTATTTTTATGACATTAACTTCTACGATTTTTTGTTGAGCCTAGGCAAAAGTTTTACTTACATGCTGATATGAGAGCAACCTGCAATGAAAAAAATTAGAGAGTTAATTTTACAGCTAGTAGTTCACAGTGGTTAGTCTTGAGTATGTTTTATGTTTCGGCAATGTTGGAGTAATGGAAGCTATTGTTCTATTGCAAATACTTTGTCTTCAGTTCGTGATATTAACCGTATATTGCACTTTAGGTTATGATATCAGCAGTAATTTTTACTCAAGTTCAGGATATTAGTTCGTGGTATCAACCGTATATTGCACTTTAGGTTATGATATCAACAGTAATTTTTACTCAAGTTCAGGATATCCGTTCGTGATATCAACAGTACAATGTTCTTTACTACATAATATTAATAGTACATTGTACCTCATGATATCGACAGAGCCCTGCACTTTAATTCACGATATCAACAGTACATTGTACTTTAATTCATGATGACAAAAGTATATGCTTCAGAAACCATTTTTTCAATGTCCTTAAAAACCATTAAAATAGATGTACATGATTCAATTCAACATTTGCTAAATCTGCGTTACATAGTCACAACATACCACAACCTATGTTATATTTTTACTATTAAAAATTATCCAAATGTGTTTTCAAATACAGCTTTACCATGGTACAACATACATTAATTTACATATGATCTTACATTTTACAACTAATCTGACCTTACCCCTAACATATATATATATATATATATATATATATATATATATATATATATATATATATATATATATATATATATATATATTACCTTCATATACAAAACTAAAATTATAATACGATCTAACATTTTTATAACTAATTGAAACTTACCTCCAACATAAATATCGCAAGCATGAATTTCCCCATCATTGTGACTTTAGTTTAAACTTTCGTCCTCTGCTTGATCGAGATTCTACAAAACAAAAATTTATGTCGTCCACTGAACAAAAAAAACCTATTTTGCGCTTGAAGCTATATCTAAAAATCCGCAGTCTCTCTCTGTGGCCTACTTGGCTCTGAGTGGTCTTCACGGCGAGGGGACTCACTTTATATAGCGTGAAAATTTCAATTAGCACCCACTCATTAGTCTAATTACTCTTTTCGAGCAACGTCATATTATGTCAGGAAAACAAAAAAACGTCAACAATTTACGTAGGCTGATTGACAGGGGCGGTATGAACGTGGGTGGGGGGATGGGAGTGGGGTGGGTTGTAGTATTGCAGGGTTACCTACGTATAGAACAACGTAGTTCCTGGGGATAGATTAGGCTGGTACAATTTGTCCAATGGCTAATGGGGCGGGTGGGTGGTCAAACGTTATATATATATATATATATATATATATATATATATATATATATATATATATATATATATATATATATATATATATATATATATATATATATATATATATATATATAATTCTTTTCATGGGGATAATGTGAGACACCACGAAAATGCACGCCGTTTCTCCCCCGCTCTCTAGGCATATAGCTACCACCCCAAACCCACCATTCTGGTGAGCTAAGGTTTACCTCGAATGTTTTCAATCGTAGAGCCGGGTCGAATTAGTAACGGCTATTAGGGGCAGATAATTTAGCTTTTAAACGACTTGAAACTAAGGAGAGGTAAGAAGCTCTGCTTGATCTTTTCATTGTCGTCTTTAAACTGTCGTCACGGACGGCTACTTTCACAGTGGCGGGGAGGGTGGGGGGGGGGGGTGAATGGAAGGGAGGGTAGTGTCCAATTCACTAATAATGAAGTTCTGAAAAGTGTGGGTAAGGGTGTCCAATTAAAGTTTGATAATATGTGGGCGGGTGATCTAATGAAATCGTACAAAAAATGATACGGGGTTGAGATTTTATTAAAAGTGAGTTGCTAAAAAGATGGAGTAATCAGGAAAATTGTCAGGAAAATGTATGCACTATTTCCCAGCGAATTGTCCCCCACTAAAACTGTGTGTAACAATTACATTAAAGTAGTTGGGGTAGGATTCGTGCGACCTTTTTCAATGACCCCTTGACCTTTACCAAAACTAGATGAGTATATTTTTTTGGCTGGAGTGGCTGAACTCTTTACAGTGGTAGAACACACACATGCACACACACACACACACATATATATATATATATATATATATATATATATATATATATATATATATATATATATATATATATATATATATATATATATATATATATATATATATATATATATATGTATGAGTTTTATTTATTTATTTGTTTATTCGATTATTTTTATTTCATATTTTAATTTATTTATTTATTTATTTAATATTTATTTTATTTATTTATTTAATTATTACGTTTTATTCATGTATTCATGTATTCATGTATTCATGTATTCATGTATTCATGTATTCATGTATTCATGTATTCATGTATTCATGTATTCATGTATTCATGTATTCATGTATTCATGTATTCATGTATTCATGTATTCATGTATTCATGTATTCATGTATTCATGTATTCATGTATTCATGTATTCATGTATTTATGTATTCATGTATTCATGTATTCATTTACTCATGAACTCATGTATTCATGTATTCATGTATTCCTTTAAGCCTTTATTCCTTTATGCCTTTATTCCTTTATTCCTTTATTCCTTTATTCATTTATTCATTTATTCATTTATTCATTTATTCATTTATTCATTTATTTATTTATTCATTTATTCATTTATTCATTTATTCGTTTATTCGTTTATTCGTTCATTCGTTCATTCGTTCATTCGTTCATTCGTTCATTCGTTCATTCGTTCATTCGTTCATTCGTTCATTCGTTCATTCGTTCATTCGTTCATTCGTTCATTCGTTCATTCGTTCATTCGTTCATTCGTTCATTCGTTCATTCGTTCATTCGTTCATTCGTTCATTCGTTCATTCGTTCATTCGTTCATTCGTTCATTCGTTCATTCGTTCATTCGTTCATTCGTTCATTCGTTCATTCGTTCATTCGTTCATTCATTCATTCACTCATTCATTCATTCATTCATTCATTCATTCATTCATTCATTCATTCATTCATTCATTCATTCATTCATTCATTCAGTCATTCATTCATTCATTCATTCATTCATTTATTCATTTTTAAACATTATTCCTATCTATACAAGAACTAGTGAAAGCGCGTCATCTTGTTTTTTTTTTAATCAAAGTACAAAAAAAGATTATTATAAATCGACACGAGCACACACATCGTCGCCGATAGCTGTAGACACACCGTGAGACACCCAATGCAATGCACAAAACATCACTCCATAGACAGGGGTATCAAAACCCGATCGTAAAGATGGATAGGATACGCCCTGGGAGAACGGGCCAAGCATAGTGTGGCCTGCGTTGGAATGGAACCCACAGGAGAAGAGAAGAAGGTGAAGATAACTTTCTGGGTTCCGTAGAGAGGGGGGAGGGGGGAGAGGTCGATTACCAATTGAAGTTCCCAGACTGAACAAGAAACTACTACAAATATATAGTATGAGTCGACCCGCGACCTAGCATCCGCCGTTATTTAGTTTTTATGTTCTACTTTTCAGTAATACATAATTTGTGTATTCGACACTACCCTACCTATCCCCCCCCCCCCCCAGTGAAAGCAGCCGTCCGCGACGACAGTTTACAGACGACAATGAAAAGATAAAGCAGAATTTGTTACCTCCCCATAGTTTTAAATCGTTAAAAACTAAATTATCTACCCCTAATAGGGCTGGTAAGTAGGTCACCAACCAGTTCTATGGCTCAAGCAGGTTTCATTGAGCCGTAGAACTGGTTGGTGACATACTTACCAGCCTTATAGCCACTAATTCGACCCGGCTCTACGAGTGTCAGAGTTTCTTCCAGGCATCTCTTCGGGGGCGGCCGAAGCCCCCCCCCCCCCAAAAAAAATTCTACCCCCCCCCCGTACGAAATGAAATTTATATAATTTATATAGAAAATATATACTTTTAACAGCGTCCGCCCCCCCCCCCCGAAGAAAGTCAACCGCCCCCCCCCCCCCCCATTTAGGGGTGACACCCAGGCAAAAAATAGCAAAGTATATAGAGAAAAACTTGAGGGGGGATGCAAATCGAAAGTTTGAAGGGGGGGTGCAAATCGAAAGTTTGATGGGGGTTGCAAATCGAAAATATGAAAGTTTGTCCCCGGGAAGGGTCGCTACGCCTCTGGGTGGTGACACCATTAAGTGCGGCACCGGATGATACCCGGCCTCGCTACGCCACTGTATAACGTTATACCCGCTTCTTATCTTAAAAGAAAAAAAAAGCATTACGATACGCCTATGCATCAATCCCACCGGTTTATACAATCAGTTGAAATCTTAACCAGACAAAAATTGATGTAATAATAAATACGAGCCGGCCCGCGGCATAACATACGCCGTTATTTAGTTGTTGTTTTTTCTACTTTTCAGTAATTCATAATTTGTGAATTCGACAGTACCAACGCTGCCACTGAAAATATTTCTTTAAAACACTATAAGTAGCTCGTTAAGGACCATAACCCCCCCCCCTTCCTTCCCCCCCCCCTCCCCCCCCCCCTACGTTTAAAATCGTTGGCTCTGCTTGTAAACATTTAGAGTGAACACAGCTCACTAAAACCATGTAGACTCTAGGGGTGGGGAGGTAGGGAGCGCGTTTACAGCTTGTTTTCTAGGCGCGTTTGCAGCTTGTTTTCTAGCGGCTCCGAGAAGATAATTATATTCTATAATATAACGCTGCTGGTAGTGTGTCAGTCCTTCCTTCCGTCATCGCTATAGATTTTGGAACCATAAAAGTAAACATTCGCACCATGCTGTGCTTTTCAGTGCACCGCAGTGTCTTATTATAAGTATTAGAGTAGGGTTTGTTTATATAGCGGCATAGAGCTATTTTATAATTGCCACGGTTTTTACTCTTTCGCATAACGTCAAGAAAATATTAAATACACGCAAACTGCTAAAACGTATTAAAAAGATCAATGTCAAATATCATTTTCGTTTAGGTTCCCAGAAAAAGTGGATACATTTTAATAAGATAATAACAGTACGGTAGAAAAATCAAATTAATTTAACTCTTTTCTAATTTTGACAAAGGAGGTAATTTAAAAATACATTAAACTCACGCTAATAAAAAATGTAAATGCAAAAATACGTTTGTCATAGAAGGAATTAGTGTTGCAATAATATAATTAGCAAAATGTGAATGCAAATTATTCGGATGTGTAAGAGGAAATTATTGTTAGAAAATTATAATTAGCATGGATTGATAAAAGGCAATCTTTTATTTATTTTATTCACTGAATGTAGGCCCTACTGTTTATTACTTATAATTTTTAATCAACTATTCAGCTCTATTATAGACGCGTCATCACGTTCATTAGGTGCGCAATGGTTTTAGTTATGAAACTCTATTGTAATTTTTTTAAATTTAAAGTACTGGAAAAAAATGCGTGAATGGTTAAAGTGAAATATTGTAGGTAAAACACGGATATTTTAAATACTGCCTATTAGGGGTGCAAATCGAAAGTTTGAGGGGGGTGCAAATCACCGGAAAGGGCGCGATTTTGGCGCTACGGGCTAGACTGTGAGCAAAATGCCTTTATGATTGCATTTAAATTGTGTTTATGTTATGAGTGTTGTGTTTGTTTTTTCGTTGTTTTTTTTTGCGTTCGTTTGTGTTGTGTTTAGTTTTGTTCTGTTCCCAAGTTGGTACATTTAAAAAAGATTTACCGTGGCGGAGCACGGGATGCAGCTAGTTATATATATAGATAATCGTATTTCAAAAGGTTTATTTTGACCTCTACGGTCTGCCATAAAAAACACATGAGGTCGCATGCAGCTCCACGCCAACTTTGCGCGTGCTAATCACGTGATTACGTCACTACCTGTCGAGGATAATTGTCCCCTATCAGCGCCATTTACCGCCCGTTGCTTTGATCTGCTCGGCATCAGGGAGCCGGCAGACGTCAAACGTTCGTAATTTGTTTGTTACGGGTTTTTTTTTTTGTTCGTGTTTTATTTCGATGTTAATCTCACAGCCACGGGGAGGGGAGGGGAGGGAGAGGTTTGGTGGTTTTGTTGAACAATTGGCTAAATAGTAAGGCAAGGGGTAGTCCATAAATGACGTCACACTCGTAGGGGGGAGGGGGGGTCCGTAATTTTGTGACGGTGTGTGATGAGGGGGAGGGGGGGGGGAGGGTTCAGATGGTGCGACGTCACACTTTTGCATTATCAAAAAGCAATGTTAGAAAACTAATTTTAGACATTATTTTGCGTTTCAGATAACTGTTTTAATAAATTGTAATAGGAATTGATTAAAATACTCTATTTTGACAGAGTTCAGACAAGATTTTGGAAAAATATCGATGTTTTAAAAAAAATTCAACTGCAATTTTGAGAGGGGGGAGGGGTTGTAGGCTGAGGTGTGACGTCATTTTAGGGGGGACGGTCTGGCTTTTTGTGACGACGTGTGACGGAGGGGGGGGTGGTAAAAATCGTCAAAAAAGCGTGACGTCATATATGGATGACCCCTTATGTTGTACAATTGGCTAAACAGTGAGGTAAGAGGCTAAGTTGCCTTGATACAGGTGGTTAAATATAAGTGGGGGGGAAGTAAATATAAAAAAGAATCCTCTTTAGACCTAGCGATCCATTGGGTAGATGAAGTAGAGTTCATATTTTTCTTGCCCTCGGCAAATGACGCGATGATCAGTACTTTGCCCAGCAGCTTTTACTTTCCCTAACATGAGTTATGCACTATATTTGAACCTTATAGAAGTCTTTAGAAAAAGTGAAGCTAATTGCCGTTAGACTTCAGAGTAATTGTTCAGTATTTGAACCTAAGAAAAATCTTTTGAAAAAGTGAAGTAATTTGCCTTTAGACGTCTCGATAATTGTTCAGTTTTTTAACCTTATATAGAAAAGTCTTTTGAAAAAGTGAAGCTAATTGCATTTAGCCTTCACGATAATTGTTCTATATTTGAACCTTTTAGAAAAGTGTTTAAAAAAGTGAAGTAATGTGCCTTTAGACTTCACGATAATTGTTCTATATTTGAACCTTTTAGAAAAGTGTTTGAAAAAGTGAAGTTAATTGCATTTAGACTTCACGATAATTGTTCTATATTTGAACCTTTTAGAAAAGTGTTTGAAAAAGTGAAGTTAATTGCATTTAGCCTTCACGATAATTGTTCTATATTTGAACCTTTTAGAAAAGTGTTTGAAAAAGTGAAGTTAATTGCATTTAGACTTCACGATAATTGTTCTATATTTGAACCTTTTAGAAAAGTGTTTGAAAAAGTGAAGTAATGTGCCTTTAGACTTCACGATAATTGTTCAGTTTTTGAACCTTATAGAAAAATCTTTTGAAAAAGTTAAGTAATTTGCCTTTAGACTTCAAGATAATTGTTCTATATTTGAACCTTTTAGAAAAGTGTTTGAAAAAGTGAAGCCATGTGCCTTGAAACCTGATGACAAATGTTCTAGAACAATCATAATTTTAGTCATGACATTTGCCTGCGCACGCACACATGCGCGCCCAGCGTCTATTTGTCAAGGTTTTAATTAGCAACAACTTAATTAAGGTCAAAAGTTACCGCATAATTAGCATGTAATTTGGGGGGAGAGGGGAGAAGGTAAACGGTTATACAACCTTGTACTTTCACTCACGAGGATTTACGCGTACTAATGCAAAATACCAATACAGTGTTTATTTCCCTTGGTTTAATGGCAGTGTTTAGCTCCCCTGATACCATCTAAATCAGTACCAACCCTGCAAATGGTCTGGGTCGTCTGTAGATTTTTTTTTCGGTTTGCAATTAGTACATTCCATATAGATGTAATTAAGTCTCATTTGTTAAATTTGGTCTGAATATTATGTAGGAAGAGGCTAGTTTTTTTTTTTTTTAATAATTGAGTGGGAATATTTTGTTTGGGGAAAATTGCGCACGAAACAACCATTATCGACGTAGGACATTTTTGGTGGGATTGTTAGCGCAATAGGAAAGGCATTATGGTATATTCATCCACAGGCGTCATGGGATAGCCATACCCAAGCGCCGTGGGATAGCAATCCAAAGATGTAATGGGAAATATATCCACAAGCGTCATTGGATAGCCACCCACAGGCAATATGGGATAGACATCCACAGGCGTCATTGGATAGCCGTACCCAAGCGCCATGGGATAGCAATCCAAAGACGTAATGGGAAAGATATCCACAAGCGTCATTGGATAGCATCCACAGATGTCATGGGATAGCCAACCATAGGCGTCATGGGATGGTCATTCAACACCTCTCATAGTTCGACGTTTGAGTCGGTCGACCAGTACAGCAGACATTACAAGCAGACACTGTCTGAAGTGTCTGACGTTTTACTTGCCACTTGGGGAAAAAAAACATACCCTTTTATAGACAGGATAAAACCACTTCAGATTTAAAAAAACAACAACAATTAAACGCTACTGTGTTAGTAAATAAAGCAGAAAAACTCCATTGTAGATGGGTTTGTTTAATTGCCAAGAAAATGTAACTTGGTGGGGGTGTCGAGGAGGGGTTCTTTCAGACATTTTTCTCCGAGTGGAAAAGGTAGCATGTGAAATTTCCAACGGGTGTGTGGGAGTATTAAGAGAATAGTTTCTATACATGATATATTTGTCGTATTCCGTTTAGTGGGTTTGGACATGCTCCTCGGGGGGGGGGGGGGGGTGACAGTGTGATTTCCTCTCTTCACACAGCGAGATGCCTGAAAGAAACACTATGCAAAGTTTCCTTCAATGGGCAAAGGTGTGTGTGTGTGCACGTTATAATCTGGGTGCGCAACGCTTTAAAACGACCTGTATAATGATATTTGTATTTTACACTGGTAAATTTATACTTTCGATATAAATTCCATTTCGTTCGGCGGAGCCCCCCCCCCCCCCCTTGTTGTTGCTAGATTTACACAGTATTATCAGCTTTTTCCAAATACAAGATGTGAAAATACAAATACCGAGACAATCTCAAGAGAAACACTAAAAATAGATTTAGTTCAAGGTGTTTATTTTCACATTCATAAATACCAAACAAAAAAGTATATGGGGAAGGGGGGTGGTGAACAATAAATAATTAATGAGAAGTTGAAACCACAATTTAAGTAGGCGCCACTTGTTTTCAAGTCTGGTTTTTACAATTAGACGATTAGAGACAGCGTTATTAAAAACATTTTTTGTTATTAGAGTAGAATCCTGATTTAAAAATAGATAGACAACAAAGCTGGTTGTATACTGATTTATAAAGGTAAACAAGCCACGCAAGTGATGATTGGCTAGAGGAGTGACTATCATAGTAGTGGTTACTAACAATGTCTGAGTTACCTAACCTTAGTGACTTGGTTTAAATACATGTTTCGGTGATATCGCGATGTTTTTTTTTTAGATTGTCGCGAGCTTCAAATAATGTGGCGATGTTCAAAAAATGTGGTGATGTTCAAATAATGTGGTGATGTTCAAAAAATGTGGTGATGTTCAAAAAATGTGGTGATGTTTAAATAATGTGATGATGTTCCAGTGATGTGGCGACCTTGTTCTTCCATCCTGTCAGGCAAAAAATGTATCTGTTAATGAAAAAAATAAAATAATTGGATCTAGTCCACGCCATAAAAACAACTTATTCGCCTCTAGGCTGAGGGTTGGGGTTGGGTTCGGGGTCAGGGTTGGGATTTGTGGGTTGAGGTAAGGGTAAAGGAAAGGGTGAGGGTTAGGGAAAGGGTGGGGTGAGGGTGGGGGTGAGGGTGAGGGTTGGTTTTAAGATTAGGGTTGGGGTTAGGATTAATGGAACCAAAATACAGACCTTTTCATGCAAATTACAAATGAAATAAGACAATATCATCCTATAAATAATACAGGTAATTTATACTGAAAGTATATACTTTGACTAATCCCCCCCCCCCCCCACTTCCCACCGCCAGAAAGCTTCAAGTACCCTCCATCCCTCTCTCCAGAAGTTTCAAATGAAGGAAACTATTAACTTAACCGGTGGTATTTAAAAAAATTTAAAACCTGCGACCACATGTGATAACTCCAGTTGACATTCGTCGTGACACATTCATCACTTCTTATACACACTACCATTCTTCACACTACCATTCTTCACACTACCATTCTTCACACTACCATTCTTCACACTACCATTCTTCACACTACCATTCTTCACACTACCATTCTTCACACTACCAATCTTCACACTACCATTCTTCACACTACCATTCTTCACACTACCATTCTTCACACTACCATTCTTCACACTACCAATCTTCACACTACCATTCTTCACACTACCATTCTTCACACTACCATTCTTCACACTACCATTCTTCACACTACCATTCTTCACACTACCACCCAGTCGTCCCTACCTTATGACGTCAGCTATGACGTGGCCACCAGGTTGGGACACAGTCTCCCCACCAAATCCTCGGCCGCCTGCACCGACGACTTGCCGAAAAGCGTCACAGCGCCCTCTAGCGTCAGTTCCCGTCCGGCTGGGTCAGCGAGGTACACCTGGCGACAGGGTTATTTTTAGACAACCGGAAGTTGTGTGATTGAAGTGTTTTCATGCGCTTGGACGTGGAAGAGTTGTCTTGCGTGAAGATACCTATCTAAAGCACGTGAGCTAAACACGGAGCTAGTAATACAGTGTTCTTGAAGGTATTGGTGGATGAAGCCATACGTATGTACTTTTATATAAAAGGTCCCCTTTTCGAACCTGACGGTCAGTGGGGTAAGTGAAGTTGAGTTCACCTGTTTGTACCCAACCGCCCTTACTTTCCCTAACGTGAATTAGGGAACTCAGTGACGTTTTATTGACAAAACCGGATTCGAACTAGAGACTTGCGGGTCTAGCGCTCTACCGCTAGGCCACGCCGTCCCTTCTAGTCTCAAATGACAACTTAACAGATTTGATGACTGGTTTATTTAATGGATCAGTCTCTTGATAATTAACTAAATGAGTGACCAATTAACCAATTGTACTCACGCCTACTTCATTGTTTCAACGCGTTACTATAAAAAGATTGCCCCCCCCCCTTTTTTTTTCTTCAAATGACGTAAACAGTATCAACTTCGTTATAATAATTGCAAACAATTTAGTTTTTCAACACTCCCCCTTCCCCCCCCCCCCCCCCCCAAATTCATCTTCTCCCTAGATGTTTGACGTCATCTATCGAGGAGGCCATAGAATAAATGACGGCGGAATTAATTAAAGGATTACTGGGTGTATTGGTGTGTGGATTGGAGAGGTTGAGTGAGTGGATTTGTGAATAGATTTGTGAGTAGGTTAAGGCGTGAATTTGTGAGGGGATATGTCAATGTATTTTGAGCAGATTTGTGAGCGCAGCGCATTAGTTCGTGGTTGAGTGAGTGGATTTGTGAATAGATTTGTGAGTAGGTGGATTTGTGAGTCGATTTTTGAGCGTATTAGTTCGTGAATGAGTGATAGGATTTGTACGTAGATTAATGCGGGGGAATCTCAACTGAAATGAGTGAAAGAATTAGATTAAATAAACAAGGCCCCACCTACCTCAACCCCTGCTGTCTTGAGTTTGTCCACCTGCGTCTTCAGATCATCGTCTTTCTTCATGTCGCCGCCGGCAAACAGCACGGCAACTTTCTTGGAGCCGGCACGGGCCCCTCTGTCTTCCGTGTACCCATCCGTCAACAGCCTCTGTCGACAACAGAACAAAACTGCGCTGAGCTTTATAAACTACAAGAAGATTCGGGCTTTTAAAGTCTGGAGGATTACAGAAGGTGAGAGCAGAGGCGTAGCGAGAGGGGGGGGGGCAGGTGGAACGCACCGAGTGACACCATTTAGGGGGGTGACACCAAGGCAAAAAATAGCAAAATATATAGAGAAAAATGATAATTCCACTTAATGAAATGATTGATTCGAGTGTTAAACAGAGTTTTAAGAGGTGCAAATCGAAAGTTTGAGGGGGTAGGGGGTGCAAATCGAAAGTTTGAGGGGGGGGGGGGTGCAAAACGAAAATTGAAAGTTTGTCCCCGGGAAGGGTCGCTACGCCTCTGGGGGGTGACACCATTAAGTGCCGCACCGGGTGACACCCGACCTCGCTACGCCACTGGGTGAAAACAACGTGACTTCTACGGTAGTAGGGTGTCGCTTAAGATTTTAAACTTCATTATTGTTCAAGATGACTTAAACAATCAAAAAGTACATTTATTTACCTTTAATTAGATACCAATTTTATTTATTAAATTTAATCGGCAGCTTAGAATTTGTGAAAAAAAAACGCGTTTGTTTTTAAATGGCTAGGATGATATGACTGATTTTCAGGGAATCACGATCGTCGTTTTCGGCAGCCATCATTACCATGACGACGGTAAAAAAAAAAGTAGGTCAAGCGACAGGCTACCCTTACCTGTGCTAGGTCTGTGAGTTTACTCCTGTCGTAGGCCTGGAGCCTCGTTTTGATGTCCTCCACGTTGGTGAAATCGTTGAGGTCAAAGCCAGCGTCACCGGGGCAGGTCCCGGAGATAACGCCGTACTAAAGACAGGTAGAGAGGTTAAAGGTTACAGTGGTTAGAGATGTGGGATGTGGTTGGTGTGGGGTGGTTTGGGTGGTTTGCATTGAGTGGGATGTTGTGCGTGGGCAGTCTTGTGTGGGGTGTTGTGTGGGGCGTGTTGTGTGATGATTGTCTTGTGTGGGATGTCTTGTGTGGGGTGTTGTGTGGGGCGTGTTGTGTGATGATTGTCTTGTGTGGGATGTCTTGTGTGGGGTGTTGTGTGGGGCGTGTTGTGTGTTGATTGTGTTGTGTGGAGTGTCTTTTAGGGGATTTCTTGTGTGCGGTGTCTTATGTGGAATGTCTTGTGAGGGATGTCTTGTGTGGGATGTCTTGTGTGTGTGGGGTGACCTATGTGGGATGTCTTGTGTAGGATGCCTTGTGTTGGGTGTCTTGGGAATGGGGTCTTGTGTGGAATGTCTTGTGTGTGATGTTTTGTGTGGGGTGTCTTTGTGGATGTCTTGTGAGGGATGTCTTGTGTGGGATGTCTTTGTGAGGGATGTCTTTGTGGATGTCTTGTGTGGGATGTCTTGTGGGGGATGTCTTGTGTGGGATGTCTTGTGTGGTTTGTCTATAGGGCTGGTAAGTAGGTCACCAACCAGTTCTACGGCTCAATAAAATCTACAAGAGCCATAAAACTGGTTGGTGACCTACTTACCAGCCCTATTGTGGGGTCGTCTTGGGAAGGGAGTCCTGTGTGGGTTTGTATACAATATCTTGTGGGGGGGGGGGGAGGGATGTCTTGTACTGGTTTCTTGTATGGGTCGTTTTAATCTGGATGTCTTGTGGGTGATTCGTGTGGTTAATTTCCAATAATCGTTGCTAACATTACTAAAGAGTCGGTTCAAATAGCTTCAGCTCTATGCCGCTTATAAATATAACCCTTTTGTGTCTTTGTATTTCTGGATTATACGTTCATTGAATTATCCCGATTGATTTTGATTATCCCATGATTGGTATGGATAGCTTTTGTCTTTTAGAATGTACATGAAAACAAACCAAGTGTGATAGTTTATGTTTTCGCTAACTTGGGTTGTGTGTATCGCATTGACAAGAACGGGAACAGCTTGGCGCTGCTAGTTAAAGAGAAACTTCTGGCTCTAGACTACTCACCTGGAACCCTTTGTCCATGTCTTGACTGCTCAATGTCCGAGAGATGAATGACGTGGCCCAGGTTGTAGAGTCCAGACCCAGCGTTGCAGGATCGAACACAAAGTAGACATCGGCTGGGCTAACCTCGCCACACGCTGGATATAACAATCAAAACATATGCAGTGTTAGGTGGTATAGATGCAGCACACCAGTCAAAATATGACGCGATGTTAAGTAGAATAGATAAAACACAACAGTCAAAACATGAGGCCGTGTCAAAGTGAAATGGGACAAATATATTGCTAGAGTTAAATAGCATACATTTCAAGGGACATTGAAAATTTCAAGCCATATTAAAATTTCTAGAGTTTATAAATTCAGTTTAGTTATTTATCTACGTATTCATCGGTCTAAAATATTTGATCAAAGAAGACAATCCACAACTCTAATTTTGGAGAATAGCCGCCCTTGGTGAAGAATTTTAAATTCAAGCCATCTGAATATTTCTAGTCTTATGAATTCAGTTTTGTTATTTGTCTATTTATCGGTCTAAAATATTTGATCAAAGAAGACAATCCACAACATTGGAGAGTAGCCGCCCTTAATAAAGAGTTTTAAATTCTACTTACGTGGGTTATATGGTACAGGTGTCGTTGTCGGCTTTTCTTTTTCTGGGGAAATATTTTGGGAGATTTTTTTTAATATATCTTCACATACGTGAATTAAAAGGGACATTTGTAGTTACTAAAATATATTTACATGTTTTTGGAAAAAGGCTAATGCGTATCTTCTAGTATTATCTGAATACAACATACAAATGCACGTCTTGTATGAATGTCTAACTAAAATCTAGTAACAAAATAAAACCTAATAATGCAAGTCTCTTATGAATATCTAAATAAAACTTACCTAAAAATGTAAAATATAAAGAAATTATCTAAAAAAATAAAACATACTAATGCAAATATCCTGTGAATATCGAAAAAAAAACACTCACTAATGCAAGTCTTTTATGAATATCTAAATAAAACATACCTAAAAATTTTAAATCTGAAGAAATCTACTAAAAAAATAAAACATTCTAATGCAAATCTCCTGTGAATATTGAAAAAAAGCACTCACTAATGCAAGATTTCTATCACTATCTAAACAGCCTTTATAAACTCACTAATGCAAGTCTTCTGGGCCAGTGACTCTTTGATTGTGCCAAGCTTGTCGTAGTTGTCCACCTGTGTGACACGTGACGCGTCACCAGCGATGTTGGTCAGCTCGTCCCCCCGGATGTCCTTGCCCACGCCAATGGCGAACAGGACAATCCCGTCATTCCTTGCTGAGGCCGCTTCCGCTTTGGTTTCCTTCCATCTGATGAACAGAGCCCAACACACCTTTAAAAATGCCTTAACCCCCCCCCCCCCTCGGTTTTAACTACTACTCTATGATTGAGTCGTGTGATAGTTTGCTATTCAGCAAGACGCGGTGAACATATGGGGGGGGGGGGGGGTAAAGTGTTGATATTTCACATTTATTATGTTTCTAATCTATAAGGTTAAGAAGCGGCATTAACAAATTTTTAACTTTAATCTTTTTTAAGATAATTTTTTTTTTATTTCAGTTTTCTCTGTAAAACACATTTTTACATAATTTAAAGTGTTCGCATTCGGGCAAGCAAATAGAGGGTTTGTGTCTGTATATTGCCAACTAATGGTCTAAAGAAGCATATAAATTATATCATCAGTTTGATTTTTAGTACTTGACATAACAATATATTACACGTTGCATTCAAGTTTATGAAACAAATTATTGAAAGAAAGTTTTAATGGTTAAATATCAAATGCCAATTGATATACCGACAACTCCGGTTATTTTAAAAGCGAGTAAAGCTAGAAAATATTGAGTTTATTTCTTCTTCTGTTCCAGATTAGCCTATATGGCTACATTATACTTGACATTTAAATTGTTGCCGGTTACATTGACACACGCAGAGCTGAGAGATAACAGGCCGGTCAACCATCAAACCGATGGATTACTTTTGAGAAAAACAAGTCCATTTGTTTACAGAAGTCTTTAACAAACAAAATTTACAGCTTTACATTCCAATCTACACATACGTTTTAACCAAAGTTTTTCAGCAACCAAATTTATAGTTTTTCATATGAACTTTACTTCATCTGCCCAATGGATCCCTAGGTCTAAAGAGGAATCTTTACTATTTTTAAACTTACAGCTGTACATTCCCATGTACAAATGAGTTTTAACGAAAGTTTTTCATCAACCGGACTTACAGTTTTCATATGAACTTAACTTCATCTGCCCAATGGATCGGTAGGTCTAAATTAGAATCGTTACTTTTTTACAGCTGTACATTCCCATGTACAAATTAGTTTTAACCCAAGTTTTTTAACAACCAAACTCACAGCTGAGAGTTGCCGTCCGTGATGACGATGCTGATTTTCTGCGCTTCCGGTCTGACGATGTCTGGGGCGAACTGGACCTCGTGCATGAACTTGATGGCCTTCCCCGTGTCCGTGAACAGCCCGGCCCTGTGGGGGACGTTACCGATGGCGTCAATCACTTCGTCCTTAGTCGTGTACGTGGTCAGGTTGAAGGCGTCCTAAAGAAGTTCACACAAAAAAATAATTCGTTTCTCAATTTTTTTTTTAGCATTTTTTGTTTTGTTTTTTTTTTAATTAAAAAAAACAACTATTGTAGATAAATGTAAGCTATTGTAAATTTAATTTAAAGACTTTTTGTAATATATTTGTTCGCTGTTAAAAACATAAAATGTGTTGAGCTAGAAACCGAATGATAATAAATATAGTTGCTTGTTTCTTCTTCATTATTCTAAATTATATACTGGGCGGAATATCCACCAATACTATTTAGTATTTAGTGTCTACATATTTTGCGTCCGATTTGACGTTGACTTCGATTTCAGACTTTATTTTCTTTCTGGATTTGCTTCCATAGCCGTTATCCATCTTAAAACAAACTACACAGCAATATTTGTTTGATTTTGGTGTTTTACTCTCCAAGATGGATGGCTTTTCCAGGTTCGAAATGATAACACTTTGGTTTAGTTAAGAAGCTAGTTACCATCCCCACCTTACCTCTGCGTAGATGCCCTTGCCGTACGTTATGACGGAGACCCTCACGTCCTTGGGTCCGGAACCGATTTCAAACTGCTGTAGAAAATCCTGCAGGAATTTGATCCCGGTCTGGAAGTCTTGGAGCAGGATGGACTTGGAGGAGTCAAGGACAATGCCGAGCTCGATTGGTTCTTGCTGACACACTGGGGGCAAGGGTCAAAGGTGATTCAGTCACGTGACAGGTTAAAGGTGATTCAGTCATGTGACAGGTTAAAGGTGATTCAGTCATGTGACAGGTTAAAGGTGATTCAGTCATGTGACAGGTTAAAGGTGATTCAGTCCCGTGACAGGTTAAAGGTGATTCAGTCATGTGACAGGTTAAAGGTGATTCAGTCATGTGACAGGTTAAAGGTGATTCAGTCATGTGACAGGTTAAAGCTGATTCAGTCATGTGACAGGTTAAAGGTGATTCAGTCATGTGACAGGTTAAAGGTGATTCAGTCATGTGACAGGTTAAAGGTGATTCAGTCATGTGACAGGTTAAAGGTGATTCAGTCATGTGACAGGTTAAAGGTGATTCAGTCCCGTGACAGGTTAAAGGTGATTCAGTCCCGTGACAGGTCAAAGGTGATTCAGTCCCGTGACAGGTCAAAGGTGATTCAGTCACGTGACAGGTCAAAGGTGATTCAGTCATGTGGTACGGTATAGGTCAAAGTTCATTCAGTCCTGTGGTACGGTATAGGTCAAAGTTCATTCAGTCCTGTGGTACGGTATAGGTCAAAGTTCATTCAGTCCTGTGGTACGGTATAGGTCAAAGTTCATTAAGTCCTGTGGTACGGTATAGGTCAAAGTTCATTCAGTCCTGTCGTACGGTATGGGTCAAAGGTGATTCGGTCTCGTGGTACGGTATAGGTCAATGTTCATTCAGTCCTGTGGTACGGTATAGGTCAAAGTTCTTTCAGTCCTGTGGTACGGTATGGGTCAAAGGAGATTCAGTCATGTGACAGGTCAAAGGTGGATTAGTCATGTGACGTGATAGGTCAGTGTTGGTTCAGCTATGTGGTACTTTATACATTAAATGTGGTAAAGTTATGTGACGTTATATGTCAAAGGAGGTACGGTAATGTGGTACTTCATAGGTCAGAGATGGTTCAGTTATTAAGTGATGTATTGGTTAATCGTGTAGTTCGTTATAGGTCAATTGTGGTTCATTTTTGTGGTACGTTATAGGTCAATTGTGGTTCAGTTGTGTGGTAAGTTATAGGTCAATTTTGGTTCAGTTATGTGGTAAGTTATAGGTCAATTGTGGTTCAGTTATGTGGTAAGTTATAGGTCAATTGTGGTTCAGTTTTGTGGTACGTTATAGGTCAATTGTGGTTCAGTTTTGTGGTAAGTTATAGGTCAATTGTAGTTCAGTTATGTGGTAAGTTATAAGTCAATTGTGGTTCAGTTTTGTGGTAAGTTATATGTTAATTGTGGTTCAGTTCTGTGGTAAGTTATAGGTCAATTGTGGTTCAGTTGTGTGGTAAGTTATAGGTCAATTGTGGTTCAGTTTTGTGGTACGTTATAGGTCAATTGTGGTTCAGTTGTGTGGTAAGTTATAGGTCAATTGAGGTTCAGTAGTGTGGTAAGTTATAGGTCAAAGGTGGTTCAGTTATGTGGTACATTATAAGTCAAAGATGGTTCATTCCAATGGTTCCTTAGACTTAAATGAAAGATTCGTGGTGTATTATTGGTCAAATATATATCAACACAATTTTTTTATAAAGTTTTCTCTATAAAAGTATAGGTGATGACCACACTATCCCTTCATACACCGAGGTCTCTGAAGCAGGTGAACTCTACTTCATCTGCCGCATGTGTCCAGCGTTTTTTCCAGACTTTTTTTCTCCGGGGGGGGGGGGGGTCACTTGAAATTATTTTGGGGGGGGGGCGGGCTAAGATTTCCGGGGGGGGGGGGGCGGACACTGGTAAAAGTATATATTCTCTATATAAATTCCATTTCGTTCGGGGGGGGGGGGGTAGACTTAACACCCCCCCCCCCTCTTTCGAAGAGATGTCTGGAAACAACTCTGCATGTGTCTTGGGAACGAACGGCCAAAAATGATGAGATTAAAATATCCATGATTCTGGTTTTATCGAGAGTTCTTTTATGTGACTTTTTTTTTAAAATTGTTTAAGTTGGGCATATATTAATACTTGAACAGGTACGCAAATAAAAGAAAAAGTACCTAGCAGGAAGTCTCCATTATCTTCCACTGTTTCTCGTCTCTTCTTTGTGTGTACATCAGGAACGGTAACTGTAACAAAATAATTATTTAAAGGGAAATAACCTTCCCAGTTATTTAAATATAACAAGGATGTTTTTGCTTTTAAACGACACAGAAATACACAAAACGTAATACAGTATAAATACACCATAACACATTGAAATACAAAATTAATGTATTTTAAATAAAATGAAAGTAAAAACTCAAACTTTTTTTTTTAAGCAAAACAGAAAAACACTGAAAATACTGCAGGGTAAACAAGAAAAAACAGGCTTTGTACCAAGTTAATCGCTACGTGTCCCACCGAATTGTTTACCCTACACTTATATGAGTTGATGTGTCTCATTGTACTGAACATAGTATTCCGGCTGTTATATAGTACTGAAATATTAGTTTTCTTAAATCCCAAATTTATTTCAGCTCTACGTATAAGCCCAAACCCCCACAACCCACTACGCCGATTTTTTAAAAAACCTTGAATCACCATTTAATTACACATTTGCAGGTTCAGGTTTAAAAATAAAATTGTAATTAGACGCAGAGGCGTAGCAAGGGGGGGGGGCGTGGGTGCGGACCGCACCGGGTGTCACTATTTAGGGGGGGGGGGGGGGGGGTAACACAAAGGCAAAAAATAGCAAAATATATAGAGGAAAACTTGAGGGCGGGGGGGGGGGGGTGCAAATCGAAAGTTTGAGGGGGGGGGGTGCAAATCGAAAGTTTGAGGAGGGGGGATGCAAATCGAAAATTTAAAAGTTTATCCCCGGGAAGGGTCGCAATGCCTCTGGGGGGGGGGGGGGGGGTGACACCATTTAGTGCCGCACCAGGTGATACCCGACCTCGCTACGCCACTGATTAGACATTTTGTATTATATCATGTAAGAAAGAAGTATTATACCATGTAAGAAAGAAGTATTACTATTGTAAATCTGTACAACTCCTCAAAAGCCGATGATGAAAACTGTAATACTAAAGTTAGGATGGCGAGGCACACAGACGCTGTAAAGTCTGAGGCAAAAAAAGAAGAGAGAAAATATAATAATAAACTTACATGCTAGGCAGAGGCCAATCTGAAAAAAAGAAAGAGTAGGCTTAACGAAACTCACACAAATGTTGGTAAAATAATAAGCAAGTGTATAGAAGACAAATGTAGTTTAACCACTATTTTGTGAAATCGATGAACATTTCTACTTATATTGTCAATAGTACAAGCTACAAGAACACTCATGTACAATACAATGTCAGAAAAATAGAATGTAAATATTTTATGAATGTTTAAAAATAATATTTTGCACTATTTTATTTATTGGAATGAGATTTATAAATTCATTTTTCACGAGAACACACTGATTTTGTCCTCTATACACTGATGTATTCTTTTTTAAGGGAATTTTAGTGTTATAGAGAGCTAAATTCATATCGCTTATATGAAAACTGTAGGAGCTTTAATAACTTTGCAGCTCTTTAAAAACTTAAGTCAGCGCCTTAGTAACATTTTAAGTCAATGTTACATTAATAAAAAAATTGATAGCTAATATCCGAGTCGAACTTCAACAGCTACTTCAAGTATCTAGATCTAGGTTAAGATTAAAGTCTTGTGAGTTAGGGCTAGGTTAGCGAAGTGAAACAGGATAGTTCTTGCCAATATTGACGATTTAGGAGAAACTTAGTTCTTGAAAATTTATAGTAAAGAATAAAAAATTTTAAAAAGTTAAAGAGTACCTCTAGTAGCACCATCAGAGCCAGATATTTGAATACCATTTTTGAGAATTCGCTACGGCAAATATAAAAACCGAGTTTCTGCAATTCCAAGTTTGGCTTGTTTCAATTATTTGCGGTTTTCTTTTTCAACTATATTTTCTAGATAACGGAACGGGTTTATATAGTGAAAATTTTGGATGAAAATTTGCCCCATTATTTTGATTAGGGTTCTTAAGTCAAATCAAAACACCAACAACGCCCGTGATTGACCTCATCACGTGACCTCATCACGTGACTCGACCATGGACCACAAATCGTTGTTCATGAAATCTCTTGCCCCAAAATGTTATTATTTTCTGTTTGCTTAATAAATGGCACGAGACCAATCACGAGTGTGCACGTGCACCGTAATCAATCATTCAATGTCAGGACTGTCACGGGTTTGTGCCGGTTAGGATTAGCGTTGGGCGTGATGCGGGTGGTGGTGGACGAAATAAGCAGGGTCGATCAATGCCCACGTGACTCAACAAAGTCGGGCACTTTTGTTGCACGTTTTGTTGTTCAATACGCATCTTAAACAGCCAAGTTAAGTCTATCATCCGATAACCACGTGATTCCCGTCAACAACAATAAAACATGGTAGTTTATCTCAGTTATAGTGAGTTCGGTGTATTATGAGAGTACCTGAGTTTGTACTTATTATTCTAAATGTTTAGGTCTGAGGTCATAGTGTCTGTCAAGTGTGAATGGGTATCGTTTGTGCTCTAAGTTTGTAACTCAATTCTGTTACATTTTTAAATGGAGCGATTTTTTTTTCTTAACATTTATTGATAAATACATCTCCGACAAAAACGCAAGAAAATCTCATTTTAAGATAGTAAAGTACCCCTTCGAAACTGACGGTCGTGTTGACCTGTTTCTGTAACCTTGGCCTAAGAAATGATAGTGTGGTCAGCACTATACCCAGCCGCCTTTACTTTCCCCAACGTGAGTTAGATACCTATCAGAGCAGGGAGCACTCAGGGACGTTCTATGGACACGAACCCAGATTCGAGCTCGAGCCTTCGGCTTGGCAGTCGTATGCTCTACCATCCGATTACAACGTTACCCGCTTTCAATATAAAACTATATTTGTTCATTTAAGCGACCAGAGTTTCCATAAAAAATCAAAAGAAAGAAAATAAATTGTTTTGTTTTTACAGTTTCAGCTAGGTTTTTTTTTTTTTTTTTTACTGTAGCAAATATGGTCGTCTTCTAGTATCGTTGTCATTTTTGAAAGTTTGTCAAAGCTACAAAGCTACAAATCTTCAATAAAACATTTTTTTTTTTTTACCATTATGCCAGTCTCCTGTCCCCCCCTCCCCCACCCCCATCAATAAAGCAATAAATCAATAATCAAACGCTGAAACCAAGTACCGAAGTTTCTTCTTCTTTCTTCTTAATTGTAATGTTGGACGGTATTTTTCCATAGCCTTTGTCCAACCAAGTGCAAACTACAAGAAGAATTGCTGTCCCCAGCTATCGAGCTTCATTCGCCCTGGTGCTTGTACGTGAGAGCTTTCCCTGAACTTTACCGGCTCGACCACGCCGATGCCATTAAAACCACAAAAATATAAACCACAAATATATTTTGCAGCTTCCAAAGAACGCCACTAAAACAATGTCCTACTTGGGTGTGGCCCCCTATAATAAAGCAATGTCCTACTTGGGTGTGGCGCCCTGTAATAAAGCAATTACTCGAAACTCTTGGAGCTAGGTAAACTCCCCTCATTTTCCCCCCAAACGATTTGTTTGATTGCTCGCGTTTTCCTGTACAGATAATTGCTGATAATTAGTACAGCTGTGTTGCTGGGTGCAGTCCTCGCGCTAATTTACATATTGGAGTTGATTCACACTATAAAGTGTGCGTCCATAAACGACGTCGCATTTTTAGAACCCTATACACCTAGCGTCGCACATGGTCACAAAAAACTATAACCCCTACTTAAAAATAACACGACTCCTTAAAACATTTTTTAAAAGCGATTTACTTCTGAATTATTAACTGATGTCAGTCAACATTGAGTTTAACTAAGATGATACTTTGATTTACAATTAACAAATAATACTCTTAAAAATGAGAAACAGCGGCTAAAATTCAGTTTCAAACGTTATTGTTCAAAATGCTAAATTCTGTCGTCATACTTTCTGAAACCCCCACCTCTCCCCCGTCGTTCATCATCGTCGCTTTTCCTTTTCTTTCCTTGATGAACTTGGTCCTAGGACCTTTGACCACAGGTGCTTTGACCATAGGGGGTTTGACCATAGGGGGTTTGACCATAGGGGGTTTGACCATAGGGGGTTTGACCATAGGGGGTTTGACCACAGCGGAGCTTTGACCATAGGGGTTTTGACCATAGGGGGTTTGACCACAGCGGGGCTTTGACCATAGCGGTGCTTTGACCATAGGGGGTTTGACCATAGGGGGTTTGACCATAGGGGGTTTAACCACATGTGTTTTCTCAGCAGAGGGTCTTTGATCACAGGTGGTCTATCAACTGGTGTTTGATCACAAGCGCTGTGTCCGGCTTTGATCATAGGTGTTTTGTCCACATAGGGTCTTTGATCTCAGGTGGTTTGTCCAATGCTGTCCATATATGGTAAGGATTTATTTTAAAAGTTGCTAAATTATATTTTAAATTTCGGTCAAACAGATGTACTGACATATTTGCGTGCTATAGCACATCTGTCATTTAGTTAACCATTTTATGTATTACATCTTTGACTATATTGTTGGCAAGTTTTGTATCATTTTGTATCTTTTATATATGCTATGTATTTTCAAGTACTTCTACATTATTTATTTGTGAAACTTGTTATATGTCGCATTATTTGTGTTTCATTTATATTTAAAATAAATCTATGAGGCCTAGCACCAGCCTTTATGTGGAGACTAAAATATAGTTCTTGGCTTTTTTTTAAATACATGTTAATTTCTATTAACGTACTCTCAGGAAACATGTATAAAATCGTGTTAATTGTATCACACCTATGATCAAAGCTGGACACAGTGCTTGTGATCAAACACCAGTTGATAGACCACCTGTGATCAAAGACCCTCTGCTGAGAAAACACATGTGGTCAAACCCCCTATGGTCAAACCCCCTATGATCAAACCCCCTATGGTCAAAGCACCGCTATGGTCAAAGCCCCGATGTGGTCAAACCACCTATGGTCAAAGCCCCTATGGTCAAAGCTCCGCTGTGGTCAAACCCCCTATGGTCAAACCCCCTATGGTCAAAGCACCTGTGGTCAAATGTCCGCGCACCATGAACTTATAGTCTCTGTCATAACATTCCAATCCCCACGGTCTCCTGTCACTCTTTTTATCTGTTCCCAATTCCTTCCTATCTGTTCCCAATTCCTTTCTATCTGTTCCCAATTCCTTTCTATCTGTCCCCAATTCCTTCCTATCTGTTCCCAATTCCTTCCTATCTGTTCCCAATTCCTTTCTATCTGTTCCCAATTCCTTTCTATCTGTCCCCAATTCCTTCCTATCCGTTCGGCCTTCTCCAGCACGCAATGTAACCATGTCTTTCTGGGTCGCCCCCTGTATCGTTAACCCTGGGGTTCCACTCTAGGGCTTGCCTGGCTCTATAGAGCTGGTAAGTAGGTCAGCAACCAGTTCTGTGGCTCATGCAGGTTTTATTGAGCCGTAGAACTGGTTGGTGACCTACTTACCAGCCCTATTGCCAGCATCTTTCACACGCGTGTGCCCCATTCATCTCCATTTACAATCCATCATTTGCTTTCTGTTGTTTTTTTTATCAATACACCTCCCATAGTTTCTCTTTTTCTACCTTGTGTTGCCATTTTATTTTTAAAATACCTCAAATACAAATTTACATTCTTAAATCAGACCAATAATCCAGCAAAAGTATCTACATATTTTCTTTCGCCACAGTATCCCCTTCATCACTCCGCGTTTAACCCCATTAAACTCTAGCTATTGGTTGAATGGCAGAGGGTTTGACAGCACGCCCGAAGGTCTCGAGTTCGGATCTCAGTTCGGACTCAAGTCTGCAGGACGTACCTGAGTCCACCCAGCTCTAATGGGTACCTGACTCACGTTAGGGAAACAAAGGCGGCTGGGCACAGTGCTGACAACAGTATCCCTTCAAATGCCGAGGTCACTGAAACAGATGAACTCTACTTCATCTTCCCCATGTGTCTAAGACACGAAAGTGAAAAAAATGATAATTTATTAATTAGACTAAACTGAAAGCCTTATGTCGTCAGCGTATTTTTCAATTATGATAATCATTTTTTAAGACATGCCCTCAATGGTACCTGACAGTGCTGCTCTCAGTAGTCCACCCTCTGGTTGTAACTCAACAGGTGAGGAGTACCCCACAATTTGAGAACCGCTCCAGCTTCAAACGAAGCTATCGCTAAATCCCATCCCTGTCGCATATTAAAGTACACCCCGCTACAAGACGCCAAAACATTCCATGACGAACCCTCGCAACGTGACATTATGTAACAGTTCCCTCCGAATTTGCATATCCATGAGCTGTGCGCACACCGATATTATTATTTTTAGCACTAATGACCTATTATGACAAGTTACATCACACGTCGAGTCACGTGGCTGTGGTTATGTAACGTGACGGTTTAAGTTAATGAGAGGATAATCAATTCAAGAAAAGTGTTGAACGTTGCAGGAAACGTGAGTTAAGTCTCCACGTTCATCTAGACTCGTATCGTCCAGCAGTATATCCATAAGGAGGGGGGAGGGGGCTAACCAGGCAGCAGCATAGGGCCCTCAGTGTTTTTGGCGCCCCAAACTCGTTAATATAATTAAGTTTATTTAAAAATAATTTTATTAATGTATATTATAAGCAGCAGGCCTAATATTATATCAACAATTTTTATTACAGGCGTGTGAAACAAACAGGTAGTTTTGCTTATTTTATCGTTTCATAAGGATCCATTAATTGTAAATAGTGAGTGCCATTATAGACAAGAAAATGAATAAAAAAGGAGCTGATCAGTGCCTTTGAACTCCGTAGAATAAATTCAATACTTTCTGTCTACACACCTTAGATGTGATGAAATATCTACTGGATTCTTCGTGTGTATACATGTATGTATGCACAGCCCTCCCCCTCCAAACCAAGTCTACCAGCTAAACCCCCCCTTCTCCACAAAACAAAATAAAACTTTTATACAAAGAGTATATTAAGCCACCCCTTCACACGAAACTGTGAGAAAATAGAATTAAAAACAGAATACCGAAAAACGATAAACAATAATCAGATTGTTAATTAAAGAGACAAAAAAATGTCTGATTTATGTGTCTAATTTTAGAAGTGTATATAGATATATTTCATATCTGACTAAGTTTCCAGATCTGGTTAAAATGCTGATTCTGGATAAAAATCCATTTTCACTGTGTTGCAGTTAATTTTTTCGTTACCGGATAAATTTGAGGTAGAGGTGTTTGGTATAGAAAAACATAACACTATCAACTTAGCGCCAGTTGTATTTCTTCTTCAACAGGACAGTTATCTAGAAATAAAGTCAGTTATTTTCTCCCTTTTTGTTTAGTGCATTACATTAAAGATTATTTAAACATTTTTATGTATTTTAAAAAAAAAAAATTTTGGCACGCTTTAAAAGCTCATAGTTCAAATATTGGATAGATTATAATTAGTCTTTAAGGTTATGCAATAAAAAGTAATGCTCTTTGTGTTGATATTATGCAGAGTTAAGATATTGGCCATTGTAATAAAATAGACAGCTACTACAAAGTTTCAGAGTTCATGTGACAAAACTGTAGCAGGGCCCTAAGAATGTTCAGGGGTGAGAGAATATTCAGAAAAGAGCCCCACACAAGCTTAATCCACCTTTGTATCTATGCTCATGACAGGTCCAACCAGTGAGGTGAAATTACTACAGTATTTGTGATAATGGGACAGAGTGGTCCAATGACAGAGCTTATGACTGATAACACAAATGTCTCTGGTTCAAGTCCATAGGATGTCCCTGAATACACCTAGCTCTGATGGATACCTGACACATCTGCATCTCAGGGCAAAAATTGAGTAAAGCTTGATGTATTGTAAACAATCAAAAGTATGTGAAACTGGTGTGCTTATATTTAATAAAAAAAATGTAGCTGGTAAGGAACTGTGCATTTAAAAAAAAAACAAGAACTAATTTAAATATTAGCTCTCATTCTAATATTCTTCAAAATGTAACATGACATATTAAAATAGATACACTGTAATTTGAGGTTCAATCTCTAACCTTACAATAGTTAGTTCAGTTTTTTTATTGAGAATTTATATAATATAGCTTTTTGATGGAAGTGTTTGCAGGTTAATTGATTGTTATTGACTCAATAAATATGAAGATATTTTTTGTTATAATATATGTCTATTATTTTATTCTACTTCTTGATTCTTAGCAACAAGTCTCAGAGAAGCTAAGGGAAGTAACAAAGTAAAATCGAATTCCATATCCTACAGGATAGTGTATTTAGTCAAAAGGAGAATAGGTTTGCAAGTATATAATTATAATCTAACTCAAATTAATAATAAAAATAACCAATAAACACAACAACAAAAAAAAAGTTTTAAATCACACCCCAAAACAACAAAACAGGACACTAGCATGATGCTTCAATTGTTTTGTTTTTATTACAAACCGAATGGCAAACATCAAGCCACTTAGAAAATCTTCAACACCACCAATCCATGAGTCTGTTTACCTAATAACATTGTATCATAGCAAATATATACAATAGATGTGGCTACTCTATCACCCAGGAGTGATAAATATAAAACATTTCTTCAACTCAACCATTTATTCTTTTGTCACAGTACTTAAATATTTTCTTTTTCTATCTATCCATTTTTTCTACCTATCCAAAAAAATAAAAAAAAAAGTAAAAAAATCAACAACCACACGAGAAAAAATGTAATAAAACTCCTGATTACTGGCACCTTCTACATTTTTAACCAAGCTGTTTCCTTATTCCAGGGGTGTCAATTAAGACCTGAAAAAGATTTTTAAAATATTGTTCATAATCTGCAAAAAACAAAACACTACAGTTCAACTTTGTCTTTATATTTAAGTACTTTAAGGAGAAGGGGGTCAAAGAAAATGTAACAATTATAAATGTAAACATCATAAAAAGGATTAAAATAGTGTTAAACCTCACCATATCGAACTTTGCATTCTTTGAGGGCTTCATTAAATCCAGCGCAGAGACTAATATCTGGCTGAGTCTGTGTACAATCAAGGAACTGTTGTAGCTGATACTGGCAGGGGTTGGAGGACTGGTTGTAGTTGTACGCTGGTTGTGGGGCTGGTGCTGCAGGGGCTGGGGCTGGAGCGACTTCCTGGCTGTGGCCACCACCACCACCAGTGAGGGCAGCACCAACAACATGTCCCTGAAGACAACAGAGCATTGGATCACATCATGTACCAGTGTAAGATAAAAAACATTACATTAAATAATGTTGTAAACTTCTACTGTCTGGCCATTAAACATTCTGTACAGATCAGTCACATAAAACGTGAAAAAGACATTATTAATATGTATCAATTTATGTTACTATAAAAAATATAAACAAACACAATTTACAGGGAAATACGTTAATCATATTTCTTATTGTCTGTTTACATTAATTAAATGAAAAAAATAGAAGATTTATTAAACACTAATGACAGAACAGTTTAAAAAAATGTCAATTGCTTTTGCAATTATAGTTTCCAACTTGAGATGTCTACACAATCTTTCTATCATAGGAAATAAAGTTTGAGAACAAAGAATTACACCAATAAGTAAAATGCCTGGGAAATGTTATACAGGAAAAGGATAACAGTAAAAGCTTGACATATTTGATCAAATCAGTCATTAGATAATCAAGAAAGTTACATAAATATAAACACCTAGCCTATTGTTTTGTTTATTACATATCTAGCATAATGTCTTACCACAGCTGAGCCAACTGCAACTCCTCCTGCTGTTGCAGCCATCTGTGCAAATAGACCTGGCTGTCTAGGCTGGGCTGCTAGGGGTGCAGGAGCAGCTGGGGGAGGGTGTGCTGGCACAGGGGCTGGGGCGTGCCTTGGGGGTGCAGCTGGAGCTGGCCTGATGAGAGAAGTTAGGTGTTCAAAAAACTGTATGCTTGCATTAATAATGATCATTTTGAATGAAATGTAATGAAACTATGTAAAGGTGGCCTGGCAAAAGGTATAGCAATTATTTGCTAGAAATATCTAGGGTTGGTAAACTGATGAGATGACTTTTATTACTTTTAAAAAAGTCTATCAACATTTGACATACAAAATTAATACTAAACTAAAGAGACAAGAAAGATTCGGGATATTTTTATTATATTTTAAAAATGATAAATGCTGAAATCTAAGACTTTCTATGTAGAAGAATGAATCTAAATTCTAAATAACTAGGCCTAACTCATAGGCGTCAATTTTTTCAGACTCTCCCCCCCTCGTGTGGACGTCATAAATGGATGACCCCTAATTAATAACTAGGCCTATAGATAGATCTAGTAATTTAAGTTTAACACAATAGGCCTAACAGAAATCGAACTAGATTTAAAAATTAAAGGAAACTAACAAATTAGGCCTTAGGCCTACTTATTAGACTCTAGTAGTAGGCCTAACAAAAACTTAAACATATAGTATAGGCCCCCTACATGGAAAATTTCTCACTGTTCAGTGTCTCATTATGACCATGAATTGAATGACATAATTCTTCTAGACTAGATCTAGAATCTAGATCTAGAATAAATCTAGACTAGATCTAGACCTAGAATCTAGATCTATCTCTTCTAGAGCTAGATCTAAAATCTATCTCACTTAATTCAATGCTAAACGAGGTGAATGATCAATGTCAATGAATGATTGATCAGACTTAAATTTATGTTTCATACTCATAATTAATTATTATTAAATCATAATCAATAGACAATAGGCCTAATCATTGAAAATTGATCTGACGCAACTTGAACTTGGTGAAGTTTCACTTTGACGCGTGAAAGATAAAGTGGCTTTCGTTCTTAGAAAATAAATTGACACAATTATTGTATTTCTAGTTACGTTTAATTAGCTGTATGATGATACAATAAATAACGAATACGAATTAATTACCTTCTCATTCCCGATGATCTTGATCCTCGTGGCATTTTCTCTGTCTAGTTTGTTGTCAGTTATCCGACCTTCGTTCTCAGGTGTTTATCCTTATGATGTCATTTCCGTATCCTGCTAAGCCTATATAAAAACTAGGCCTAGACCCTAAAAGTTCTGGAAATTTATAGAATGTCATAAACGATGACTTTGCCAAAAATAAATACTAAATAGCCATAGACTATGCAGTAATCGTCAATCTTGTTTTTAAAATAGACCATCATTTATTGACGATCCCCGAATTCCAGATTATCTATAGGCCGTATTTCAATCTCAAGATATTAATAAAATTAGGCATTAAAATGTATGAGGAAATTAGGCTAAGACGTAATAGATCTAGATCTAGATCTAGAACTATCTGGAAATCAAGATACAACTTACAAGCTGACGCAAAATATACAATGATGTAGCAAAAAAAAAAACGAAAGAGAGAGAGAGAGAAGGAAAAATAATAATAATTTAAAAAAAAAATCCTTACAACAATCTTTTATTAAATATATTAAAAAGAAGAAATTAAATTTATTTCTTTAAATATAATGATGCATCAACGTATTTATAGTTAAACTATATAATTATGTCTTAATTACTAAAAAGAGTGCTGTGGCTGTGACTAAACTAGGGACTGTCATCATTTGGGGGGGGGGGGGGGGACATTCTACAACCCTCCCCCTCCCTTTACACCTTTTTTTTTCTCCATGAGTGGTTGTAGCCAGGCTTAAACCTAAGGCTCTTTCTATTTCATTCGAGGGGCGGTAGACTTTTTTTTTGGGGGGGGGGAGGGGTGGTAGGAGGGGTATGGGGTGGTGCTCCTCCCGAAGAGATGCCTGGGAGAAACTCTGTAGTCTGTAGATAATAGAAGGAGAATATGGCGGAAGGAATCAATTTTAAGGGAGATAACTCATTTAAATAACAAAAACAGAAAGCTAACATGATGAAAATAGGAAAAGAAAGAAAACTCGTGATATAAATAGTTTTGATTGTATTATACTGAATTAGCTCTCTTAGCTGTGTAACTAGATTCGATAAACTTAGTCAGGACTAAGACTAAAAATAATTTTAAATATGTGATTATTATGTGAATTCCAGGAGTTATTTAAAAATCTTATTAACTTAGTGGTTCCAAATTCGTCGTATTTCGTATTAGATAAATATGAATTGTAAAAGCAATGTGCCAAAGTCAGTTTCTTCCAGGCATCTCTTCGCCCCCCCCCCCCCTTCCCTCCGAACGAAATATAAATTATATAGAAATAGAAAATATATACTTTTAAATTTAAGCCTTTAACCTTATACTTAATACTTCCATAACTTTAAAACTTAGGATAAGATCTAGATTTAGATCTAGATCTATGTAGTATATGTAATGTAGTGATATTGTAGTGTAAATGTAGTATAGGCCTGTGTATTTATAGTAGATCAATTTTGTAGCAGAGATCTATGTCTATAGTCTATATTGTAAGCCGCTTAAAAAACGAATACACCTAATATGTAATAGACCTAAAACATAAGCTTTTCATTTAAAGTTTATTTTGCAATAAATGAAAGTAAAATGAATAGGCCTAAAGAAAAATGTTTCTTAAAAATCTTAGCGCGCTGCTGATACAGAAAATAAGTTAAGTAGGAGGAGCATAATTGAGTAATATTATTAATACGCACACGTGATTCAATTTTATGAACAGTAACAGAGTAAGGCCGTATATATTTTTTGATGTATTGTTTCATTCAACTTTAAATGGAATCTAAGTACTAAAAATGCACATGTTTAAGTTCTGTTTGTCGTAGCAGGTTTCTTTAGGTACTACTTTTAGCATCGGACTCAAGTTCTGCATTGAAAGGAAGCAGGAAATCGCCATTTTGTAGAACATAACATAAACAAAGCATAAAAGGCAGGCGATTAACTCAAGGATTTATCTCTGTATTTAGGCTATTTAACAATGCTAGTCATCAATTTAGTTTAGATCTAACTATCTTTAAGGTATTTCTTTTATATTCTTACTTATTTTATGCATAAGTAACAATTTTATTTTGAAAACAAACGGTCCCTCGACTGCAAGTGCAGGAAGTGTTAGTGTAGCAAGCAACCAGTAACTAACTAAAAAATCCTGAGAACTAAGACAAGACGACCTAAGAAATAAATTTATCAGCTAGAGAATCTAGATCTAGTCTATCTAGAATCAAGATCTAGTCTATCTAGAATCAAGATATCTAGATCTAATCATTTCTGGTATTATTGACATTTTAAAAATTTAGGCCGCCCTAGGGCTAGGGCCTAGGGCATCATGAATCTAGCTGCATTCTAGCTAGACTTAGGACTTAGACCCCTACCTAGATTTAGATTAAAATAGATTAGTTAGATCTAGCTAATCTAGATCTAGTATTACTTATCTAGGGCAATCTAGGGATTCATCTACAACAAGTCTACTAGAATCTAATCTAGCAGCTTAAAAAGTAAAGGAGCCCCCTCCCTCCCTCAGTCATTTGCAATTGTCTAATAATAAAAAAGATTTAGGCCTAACAACCAAAGATTTTTTTATTACCTTTCCCCTGCATCGAATCTAATAATTACTAATAAAATATCACTACATGCACTTTTGTGACAGGTATAAAAGTGCATGACGTCATTTTAAAGTAATGAGTGATTTATAAATGACTCTGTTAATGGTAGAGTAACTTGTAAGGCATATAAATCAATATGCCTCTTAAAGTCTTAAAGTTTTAGGGTTATTTTGTAGAATAACATAGGAGACAGTGCTTTAGAGACTGTAGGAGCATAGAATAGTGGAAGTTTATTTAGTATAGCTGATGATTACTAAAATTAATTTAGTTATCCTTAAAACAATTTAATAATCTATCAACTTGTTTTATTGCAATGCATGAAAATCGTCCACTTGACTGAAGATATTCTAGCTTTGTTTAAAGATAAATTCATAAAGTTAAAGCCCCATTTCATTATATATCAAATTAAAGTGGAATAAATTATCTCTATTGTTAGTTGTTATGATAGGATTTTACGTAGTTATACTTACTAACATGTATAATTTACATTGTATGTTAGTTTTGTATGTATATGATAAAGGGCTATTTTAATTCTGCACGTTTTTATATATTTTTTCAAGTTATAAGATCATTGAGTAGAAACTGTCTTGTCCATTTTCTTTAAAATAATACTCAATGTTTACAGCCACCCATTTTGAGGGACTAGTTGACACGGAACACATTTTATTAAATTAAAATTAGCAGAGAATAAAACTGCATGTTATTGCTGTTATTACTGCATATGTTATTGCTATTACTGCTGCATATGTGATTGCTATATTAAAAGACAAATGCCAAGAATATTCACCTCTAGACATTAAAAAAAAAAAAGTAAAAGCCAGAAGAAATATATTTTACAAAACTAGACACAGATATATTGCTGTTCTTCAGACTTAAATCTACTAATTATGTTGAATACACCATCAGACTTCTACCCCCCCCCCCTCCCCCCAAACTCATCTTACATTGTTAATGATAACTAGTTCTGAAATGAAATTGATTTTCAGCAAATATCATTTTATATAAAAAAATGTTATGCAATCTTGTCTATGTGTGTGTGTCTGTGAACACGATAATTTGAGTACTGTTAGACAAATTTTCACATTTAAGTAAAACATCTAATTCTCTGCCTTCTTTCAAATTTTGAGTAATTTCCGGTGACAGGAAGTAGTACTTTACATATATTTGAAAAACTCATATGAATTTATAAAGTACTGTTGCGCGCTATTATACTCACATTGTTTTGCTGTTCACTTGTGCGCAATTCTTTTTTCTACAAGATTTTTTTCTATTTTAAAAAGATTATATGATTAAAAATCATGTCTATAATATCTCGAGTTGCGATTCCCTTTTGAGAAAGTTAAGGCGAGATTACTCCCGCTTTATTTTATTTAACGGTTTCTCGGTTGTTTTTTTAAAATGAAAAATAAAAATAATGACTTGTAGTTTAGACAGCATTCTCGTCTTTTTTTTTTCTAATAACAATGGAAATTTTCTAGCCTATATTATTTGAACTGATCTAATTAATGGATAATAATCAGACCTATTTTCCATTTGGGCTTTTGCCAAAATGTCCTGTTAAAGCAAACCATTTACAGGAAGTAACTGCTCTATTTTGAACAATTACAACACAAATAATAATAAACTGTGTCAGAGTATTTTATTTTTGTATCTCTGACACACTGATAACCCATAATTAACGATGACATGTTGTTTTTTTTTAGCATGACAGTGATAGTGACCAACTTTGCATCACATTAATTTTAAAACCCATACATTTGGCAAACGTATTGCTTGGTGATAACCCACTTTTATCAACAATTTTATTAAACTAAGGCAGGTCACTCTGGGTTGTTTTGCCACTTGCTAGTGTGTGTGTAAATCCAATACATTAATAGCTGTTTGTTCAGCTGGTGACAAATAATAGCTATTATAATCCATGTTTATCATAAATCTTGAGGCATGTCATTCAATATATTTATTTCTAACATCAATTTTAATATTTGTTTTGTAGATAGTTTGTTTAACAAATAACATACTCATTTGTCATCTCCTTTTCCTAGTTGAGCCAACATGAACTTGTTGGACCAGCTATCAAATATTTTTTACTTCATTTGTTGAGCTGTCTAACTTAGCGTTTGTGTGTCTTTGTTTATATTTGAAACATTGACAGCAGATAATAGGCCTAGCTTTTTTGCATTCATATTCTGAGCAGCCGCCTCCCCCCCCCCCACCTTCCCCCCTACATTGATAACCCACCTTTCTTGTGGTGTAATGAGTCTCTTTATTTAAGCAACACAAGTATTTGTGAAAAATTAAAATAGAGCTATAAAACTTATGCTTGTATGATGTATACCTTGTGTTTGTAGGATGAAGAACCGGGGCTGTTGGTTGTGTTCAAGTGTTGATATTGTTGGCTGGTTCACAAGACATGGATAAACCTGAACATACTGACAGTGCTGAAAGACGTCTATAAGTAGCCTGTGCTCACTTAGCCCCAATACCTCGCAAGGTTTTATTTGTTTTATCGTGAGGTAAGATCACACTTTTTTTTCTATTTTAAAGCTGGTCCATTGTCTTCTCATAACTGCTTCTACTACTTTACTTTCTCATTATAAGAAACAGTTTCTCAAAATAAGTTGTTTAGATAATGCAGCTAGTTAGTTTGGGGTATTTAACTTCTTCTTAGATTCTTTTAAAATAGACCACAACAGATATCACTTAGTCCAGAAATTTACATTGATGAAACCTTTTAATTTTTTTATTAAAATAAGACCTTTACACATGTGATGGAAATGCAACCTTTAAATTTCTGGATGTAATTGTAAATAATAACTTTCAAGTTTTGATGTGCCAAATTATATGTGTTTAGCAGACTTTTACGAATAGGATATTTCACTGATTGGCTCAACTTCATGATAAACATTAATCTACCTCTGCTTCAGGCCCATAGGTTGTGAGATAAGGTCTGCATTGATTCTATGACCTTATTACATATTGTATGTAAACAAACTGAGTAGGTCACTTGCATGTGCTTAAGAGCTCTCTTGTAACAGAGAAGTAGTTTTGTACAAATTGATTTTTCTGATGTATCCATCTATTCACCTGCTACCAATCTTTAGATAGTCCATCATTTTATTAAAGTGTACTTTTTATTTCATTTAAGAAACAAAAAAAACTCTTTTAAAAAAAAAAGTACAAGTTGATTTGTTGTACTTGTTTACTTTAATTTTCTTATTGTGAACAAGTTGCAATGTTCTGCATATATGGTCCCCAAAAACTTGAAGCCTAACCTTGTTCATTTGTCTTGGGAAAAGCTGACATGTCCTCTATGTAACAGAACATCAGTTCACTTGAATTGAATTCTGTCAGATCCTTCTTATAAAAAACACATTTGCTGTTTTTCCATATCCAATTATCTAGTTCACAAATTAAACAAGATTATGGTAATTATTTTTCTACATCTTAGTTTCATTCAAATTTAATGCTGTCTGGTTAATTTGAACTTTTGCAACAATTCTCCTCCCCTAAGGTAGGTCTAGATTGCACTATCAAAAAATCCTATTGCACTGTTTTCCTTTGTGTTTGAGCCACTTTGGGCCTTAACACAAAAATGAAAAAAAAACATTTTAATTTAGTGGAAATGTATGTTATTGTTGTTAGTGTTTTTAAAACAGCTACATTAAACAAACACAAATTAAATTATAAAATTTCAAAGCATGTTGTAAAAAAAAAATGTCTATATCAATTATTCACCAGCTCAATTATTCTTCACAAGCACATGTTTATTTAAACCATCATTGCTATCTTGCTGGTGTTGACATGTAATTTTTTATTTAAAGTGATACCCTGGCAGATTCTGGAGATAAAATGGTGTAACACTAACTTGTTGTGAGTACTTGTATAGTATACATGTCGCGGTGTGCTACTAAGAAGTTGCGATGAATATTCAAATATTCCTTCATGGTTAGACAAACAGACATGTTTCTGCAAGACTTAGATTTTCTGTGTGCACCTTTCTTTGTGAAACATGAACTCTACTTCACCTGCCCAATGGATCGCTAGGTATAAAGAGGATTCTTTACTCTACCTTCTTGTGTATCGTGAAGTTTCAGTAAATATTCTTCCAATGCCGACTAAACTACAATCAATACACAAATCAAACTAAAGCTGTCGTACATTGATTAAGTTGATCTACCTTTTTATTGGTGGATAAGCAATCCGGCGCCGGATGCGCGCTACAGAAAACAAAGAGCTCAACATTTGGATTTCGGCTCTTTGTCCATGTCGCCCCAAGTTGCACTGTGTCGTTCTTTGTCGCTAATCGTTACACACCTGACACTTCTGTTAGCGTGATTTTTTTTTTAATATTCCGTCTTAACCGCGATTGTTGCTGTACTACTTACTGTTAAAATTGGGTCAGATTAATCCGTGTCAGCCCGCCGTCTATTTATAGCCGAGCACATGGGGAGGATTTTGAGTTCATAACCTTTCCGTGCCCGCGCAGTTCGGTCATGTCAGTTCTATGAGGGTTGGATGTGCCATTCTTTGTCAGGTAACTTGCAGCAATGTTCTATTTTGTTATGGGCGGCTTGCGCGTGATAGGTTCACAGCTTTAGAACTGAATCGTGTTGGTCAAGACGGCCGAGTATTGGCTCTACCCGATGTCCGTTCGACATTAGACTCCGCCGGGAATTAGGCGGGTTAGCGTGTTGGTGTTATTGTATTCTTAGGTTTAGTTTTATGATCAGAAATAATGGTTAGGGTTGTGGTAGTGTTTGGATAACGGATACGGATAGCAATGACATTAACAAGCCATATTTGGTTTACGGATAAAGTTAGCAATGACATTAACAAGCCATGTATGTATTAACTACCAGTACTTAATCTAACACCCCTTTTTAAAATAAAATTCCATTTTTTGTAACATTACAAGTCATGTATATACATATCTATCTAAACAATGAAGAAGAAATCTCTAACAGAATGTTTAAACACCACTAGGTGAAGGCGCGCGCCTGTCCGTCTTGCACGCGATATTAGTGAGCGAGTTGATCAGATAAAGTATGTTATTGATTTCTTTGCTGGCCTGGGTCACTCGAAGACTGCACGCGCCGTTTGACCTGTTGAGGATCTGCTATGTTCCATTAACCCTAGGTGGTCCCTTCGTGGGGTTTTCAGCGTGTGTCTGTCTTTTTGTTTTACCGTTTGTAAGCTGGGTATCGAAAAGGTTTGTACTGAGTCTCGTGGTCTAGGGCAGTCTATCAGACTGTAGCACACTGACCTTATTCCGTGTTAACTGACCAGGGGTGGCGTGGGGGTGTAAATATATTTAGTGTGCGGTAGTTATGTTTAATGGATAATTTAAAAAATAGATTAGTCTGTATCAGCGACTTTAATTAAAACCACGTCAGATTTCTGTCGTTTGGTGATATATTGTATCCATATGTACCCTATCTTTAATTGTAACTTGTATTTCTGTTAAAACGACGAGAAGCTAAACCTGCTCAAACGTCGTTATAACAATACAGTAGGTCATGGATGTTTTATTTTTCTTCTATGGTTAGTATCGTTGTGAGGGTCAGAGGTTAGGTGTAAGGTGCTGGTCCTAGAAAGGGATTGCTTAAAATACGCCGACGGCTTAAAATATAGCCGCCATTTTAAAAGACGACAAACATAATTTTATACACGTGATTTGTATTCATGATGTAAATAATGCCTTTACATCACGCGTGTGTTAGCGAATAGCTACCGTCGTTTTTGTTGTTGCCTTGTTGCTTAACTATTGCTCTGGCAAACGCTTCGTTATTTTGTTACGTTAAATTATTTATATTAGCTGAAAGCAACAACTTGAATGATTCTAAGTTAACAATAACAACCTGTGTAGTTGTTGTAGCTCTGAGAATGTACACTAGTGACATGGAGATCCACGCTGATTTCTTATTGTATTACATGTTGAAGTAATAGTAATAGTCAACTCAATACAAATATGGCGTGCTTATATCATTGCTAACCTTATCCGTAAAACAGATATGGCTTGCTGATGGCATTGCTAACCTTACCCGTAAACCAAACCCAAATCCTACTACAGACCTAACCCTTAATATATCTGATCATGAAACTAAACCTAAGAAAACAATGTTGCTAACAACCTATACGCCTAATCGTGAGTAGAAAAAACAAACAAGGAATACACAACAAAGCCGTAACTACCAGTTATTGCCTTATGTGGTTTGATGCTACTATTTCGCTATCATGTACACAGCTGTTTGTTTCTCTTTGTGTAAATGTCCACATCTTTTATTGCCGTTGATAATACGATTTGTGTCTATGTGACGGCCTTGCTTGGGCCCAAGAATCAATACTTCTCCTGTTCGCTCTTATTTTGTTTATTGACCAGTGGTTGAATAACTGGCACAAAGGGATATTTATGTCAATATAACAATCTCCCGTGTTCAACTTTTCAATGCTGGGGTGGGGGTTGGGAGGGTAGAACATGTCTGATTTCACGGTTGACTGCGTTTGGGTCTTTGTGCTCAAGTTTGGTCGTACTGTCTAGCTTGTGGGTACACGTTTTATCTGGGGTAGGGAACCTGCACATGTAGGTCATAAGCAAGACATCGGTCACAGAACATGTACATACATATAATAATAAACTAGACATCTACAAGCCAATCTGCTCACACATATTATAAACTGCCCATTGACATGCTATTCTACACACACATATCATAAACTAAATATCAACAAGCCAATCTGCACACACAGGTAATAAACCAGATGATGAAATAATACGGTGTCAACATTTGCGTTTACTGTTGTATAACGATAACATTTCTGTGTATAACGATGCTTAGGGTTAGGGTTATGATCTATCGGGTGCCAAACTTCTCCCCTAAGCGGATTGCTTAGACGGAATAAGTTAGTAATACATAGCGTCCAATCTACAGAATCTTTACATTTTTAAGTAATTTAGTTTTTACAACAGATGACTACATTCACAACTGGAATGGAATCCACTTATTGTTTCTAGTTTAAGAGCACACGCTAGAGGTGCCCCCAACTCTAGATTTAAATTTTAAATGTGCGCTATTTATTCTTCATAGAATTTTACACCTGATATGAAGGCATAGAAAAATGGAGAAACACCTAAAATAAATAATTATCATTAAAAAAGTTTTAAAAAAAAGTTTTCTGATTGAACTAAAAAGTAGAAAATAAATGCTATACATCACAATAATGATGAAAAACGTGGGGCGCCGTGATTTTCTTACAGTTTTTAATACTGTTGACTCTCTACAAGCTCCCTAATAAAACTCAATAGTATTATCTAATCAACAGTAATATAACTTTTACATCTTATATTAACAATTACCGATAAAAAACTTACTTCGGCGCCCCACGTTTTTCATTTTTTGTCATTATTGTGATGTATAGCCTTTATTTTCTACTTTTTAGTTCAATCAGAAAACGTGGGTTTTTTAAAACTTTTTTAATGATAATTATTTTCCACTTTTTAGTCTTTGTCTGTTTG